CACTATTTGAGAGGGGCCAAAGGAAGGATGTATTTTGGTTATGGTTTCTTGATGAAACAGGACAGACAAGTGGGGAGGTACATACTCGTAATGCAAACAGGAGCATCCCAAGTTGGTAAGCCTGTGCCAATAGACATGTAAAACCATCAAGAATTACTTCTTCACACTTTGTATTTCTAAAACAATCACACACCCGTTTTCTCAACAGTCCATAGCGGACTAACCAGACCACCTATCAAATCATTATTTTGGCTTAGCTCTTTCTTTATGTTATAGATAGCAAGTAAAGTATTAGAGACAGCTTTGGCCCAGGTTAAAAGCGGCTCCCATTTATTGGCTAATTTTCCTCAGGATTTCTGGTATTCATTCTCAGAATTTACCTTTACTTCGTTACCATTTGAAATCACACCAACACAAATGATGGGATGGGCTGAGAGTTGGGATGGGGAATCTGAGCACAGGCACAAGGGAAAAAAATTAGATGTAAAAAATTAGCACATTTACTACTATTTTAGAAGACAAAAAAAAGAACCATGCTCAACCATCATGAAATCAAGCTATAATTTCTGTAACTTACTATTAATAACCCTGGTGAATTTTAATGAACATGTAAGGGAATCATTAACTGGGGAAGCTTAGCTTCTTAAAAAACACTGTTTAGACAAACACATCAGTGAAGGAGAGTATGATGGTGTCTTTTCCCAGTGCAGTAGTGGACCCAGGCCAAGAGAACTCTCTCATTTCTAAGACACCAATGTCCATTTTCTCCCCTCTTATGCTATAAATGCCACTTGGCAAATCCATATTCAAAGTAATGGTGTAGTTTGATTTAAATAAACAGGAGTTTGGAAGGTGCTGTACTTAAGGACCTAAAACAAAAGTAACATTCTACACACATGAAGCTATAATTCACATGTGAAACTTTATTGGACTTGGTTGTAGGGTTATATGGGGCTTCAACAGCTTAAAGTTTCCACAATTTGCAATTTTCAAAATTCACCCCAAATTGTACTTTCTCCTAAAAGTAGACTGTCCTAACTTTTTGAAAGGTGGGTTTCCTAAATTTCGCCTTTTCAAAACTACTTTACTGGCTGACACACAAACGCACTACAGAATTAAATCACTAACAGTTTTTCTTACTTTCGAGAGTTTGTTCTATTATGAAGCTCTTGCTGACCTGGTACACACTATGTAAAACAGCCTGCCTGTCTCCCACAGTGTCAGGATTAAAGGTGTGTGCTATCACACCCAGCTGACAGTTTCTTTATATGAACTGCATCCAGCAAACTAAGAAAACTGACTTGTCTTGTTAAGGACAAAAGCAGAAACAGAAGGGAAGCACTAGTGAAATCATGCTAACTTAAGGGTCTAGCTTTGTCTGGCAAATTGTTATCATGGGCAATCAAAGATTTAATGTTTGCCTTCTAGTTCTTTGAAGTGTGGCATGCAGTAAAATTCATATCTCACTTAGGACAAGTCAAGAGTCAGACAGGCCACGCTGGTTTACAGCAGCTTCACAGGGGAGCCACACCTCTTCATCTCCACATTCCACGTGGCTTCTGGAGTCACACCAAAAGTGAAATAACATTTGTGAGAGGATGACGACAAAACTTCTCCCTAACTAGGGACTAGTAACTATTGCTACCTTGTACTTCTGAACTCAGGGACTGCATAGAGTTCTAATGACTTGCCCTGTCAGGAATGATCAAAGACTTCATTACTCCTCTATTTTTTGAGACAGGGACTTACTATGTAGCCCTGGCTAGTGTGGAACTTGCTGTGTAGACAAGGCTGGCCTTGAACTCCTGCCTCTGCCTCCCAAGTACTGGGATTAGTGTGTATACCACCACACTCTGCAGACTTCAACTTTTTTTCATTCATTTGACTTTTGTCAAAATATCTATAATGAAGGCAGTGCAAAAGAGTTTTAAAAAATATTAACCCCTTAAGTCACCTTAAAACACTAGTAATGAAGAACTGCAACTCTGAGGACAAAGAGAAACAATATAAATCAAGTTTTAATACAAAATGTAAACAAGCAATACAGAAGAATGGAGTCAGTTGTAATTTTCATGAAACAATGTTTTATATTAGAACATCTACTTTTCCTCAAATAGATGACTCTTATTTCATTAACTCACAAACTAAGTCTTTTAAAATTTGTGGGTAGAGTGCTACTTTTTTCTCTTATATCCTTAGAAGAACTGTTTTTCTATAACTTAATTACTTCTAGTTTATGTGTCTATTTTCTTGATGTATTTTTATGCACCACAAGTGTGCAGTGTTCTTGGGGGGCCAGAAGAGGACGCAGAATCCCCTGGAACTAGAGTTACTGATGGTTGTGGGCCACCATGTAGTGTTGAGAATTGAACCTGGGTCCTCTGGAAGAGCAGCCAGTGTTCTTAACTGTTGAGACATCTTTCCAGCACCTCTCTTGTGTTCTTTTGGTATAAATCTATGGTTAAGACAAACCAAATTCCTCAAATAAGTACAGAAAGAGCCAATTGAATCAATTAAATTATATATTTAAAAGTTTCAAAATATCAGAAGATGACAGGCAACTGGTCACAGGTACAGACTGCCTATTTCTGAGGTCTCCAATGGACAAACACTGTACAAAGTACACAAATTATTCCCCAAACAGTCACCTTTCAGCATCCTCAAAACCCTGTTCTGTTGATAACTGGAATTGGAAGGAAAATCAAATTTTTTAAATGCATTCTAGGATTCCATCACTTACATTTAAAATTTTTGAAGGGTGGGAGTACACTCAATTTTTAACCACAAGCATTTCAAGTCTTTTACAAAGACAAAAAAGTAAAAAAAAAAAAAAAAAAAAAAAAAAAAAAAAAAAAAAAAATTGTGCTTTTTTTTTCATTTTAATAACAAGCAAATAAAATTCTTAAGTGATAATGTTCATAGTTTGGCAAAATGAAAATGTACAAAATTAACTAATTACTTAATTAACCTGTAACTTCTACTCACACCTACATGGAGATGGAAATTCAAGACACAAACACAGCACACATTCAAACCACTGGTTAAGATATTCAAATGTTATCTAATAAGAGACCAAAAAGTAGGTAGTATAAACCAGAAACTGGATGTTGTACCTACAACCGTACCACCTGCATGTGTATGTCTCGCCTGACCTCGGAAGCTAAGCAGGGTCAAGCCTGGTTAGCACTTGGGAGAAGGCGTTTTGTAAGAAAACCTTTTCCCTTAAGATGCCTTTTGAGGTAACCCTCATACCCACACAGTCTGTAACTGGACAGTACATCTCACTTCTAGTTACTAGAAGACATTTTCTTAAGAGACTGGGGCAAAAGGGGAGCAGAAACTAGAAACTTTCTAGGTTTGTTCAATGCCCCCTTTAAAAAGACAACTGATGAGTTTAAGTCAAACTTCAGATTCTTAAACCAAAATAAAGAACACAGGATAGTGAAGATAAATATTTTTAGAAAAAAACTTTTGTCCTTTAAAATATATTAGTCCCCTTCTACTAAGAGTTTACAGAGTACACCTAACAACTTTATAAGAACACAGAACACAACAGGGGAGAGGACACAGCACCATAGTTTCAAACATACAAAACATTCAGCACTGACTAGGTAAGACCAAGCTGCCCAACAGACAGGGACAAGTCCCAACATGGAGGAAATATATTATCTAGTTGAATACAAGAAAAGTGGAAGATATGTTTAGGTGAGAATGGAGAAGGAAGTGCTAACTCCTTGTACTACAAGGAAGGAATGGGATTTCTTTATCAAAAAGCAGAAAGAAAATGCAAGCTCCCAAGTGGATTTTTTGATGCTCAAACTTTGTCATACGCTGCTGGTAACAGTAAATATATATATCTATATTTATATATGTATATTAAAAAAGGAAAAATAATCTATAGAACAGTCAGTAGTCAGAGACATTTAGAAAAAAGTAAAAACAAGTCTTTCTTTCTTTTAAAAACGGATTTACTAAAACAGCTTCACACCCAGAGGACCTATAACCCCACATCCTCTGATGAAGCCACGGTGTTATTTATCAACATCTTCTTGGGCCATGTTGGCTACTACAGGCATTAGGGTTAGGGCTGCAAGGCAAAAGCTGTTATTTGCCAGTCTTGCTTATGGCCATGCCTGAAGCATGGTGGAGTCTGGAATACTTGTGAATAAGGGTTTCCCAGATAAGCATGCATCACTGAGGCTCAGAAAAAGGATCTCATTAGTCATCTCTACTCCCTCCAGGAACCTGGATCCATGTACCTCTCTCCTCTAAAACAGACCCAGACAGACTTCTCAAACCAATGGGCTGCCTGCCTTGAAATAAGAAAAAACCTTCTTCCCAGAATCCAGTATAGTCAGACTTTCTAACCTGCTGACATCCTCCTGAGGAAAGTGAGGGGCTCTTTTGGAGGATTTTCTTATTGATATAATAAGCACAAGCAGCTGAGGTCTAAAGATTGCATTGACACCCCAAGACTTCTAAAAGGGATAACTTTGGCCTGTTCCTCCTAACTGGATCAGCAGAGCATAAATGCCAGTAATTATGGAAAAAGTTGTCCTCTGACTCTTTTCCAATTACCTAAGGAGATTCAAATAATCAGGGCCTTCTGATGGCACCACCTCTAGGTGTAACCTTCTTGTAGAAGGTTTCAATTGGTCACAAGCCACATCTTATACACCCACTAAGCATATCAATGTGTTAATTCCAAACAGCCTTCCAAGAGTTCCATCAAGAACCTGGCCTTAATGAAGCAACCCATACTCGAAGGAGTCAAGAGCTGAAATACTGGCTGCTGTACCAAAGAAGACATCCTCTGCACAGATGATTGAGAATGTAGCCTACACAATCCATGCACAGAGGAAGCCAGCACTAAGAGGACTTTCTCTGAAGTCCATTCATCTTTGGAAACACCATTCTGAGTGATCAGAACCACTCTGCTTGATGAGCAAGGTCTCAATGTAGTCCACTTCCCCCCATGTTGCAAGCTAACCAAGCATCTGCTAACTGGTCTCTTTAAGGTCCTCCATTGGTAGTTTGTAGCTCATTATGAAGGGAGGAGGTGGTGCTTGGCCTGGGCTGTCTGGCCCCTGCTTCTTTGCACAGTTTATACAGATGTAGTCTTCACTTTCAGCCATTTCTGGGGACACACCAACACAAACTTGATGAAACCACTCATCACAGCCACCATCACACTGCACCCAGTCTACCTGTAGAAGATAAAGATTGAGACATGTTAGTATCATAACAGTAAGATCAGAGTAAAAGCAAACCAAAGAGCTTTCTTGGCTTAAAGAAGAGCAAACAACTGGGATATCCAGAGATAGATATGACTTCTTATGGGGTTATTTTTCAAAGAAAGAAGCTGAGAAGTTAATACCCCCAAATTATATTTTACCATAGTGTGTCCACAAAATTAGGCCTCTTAGGTACTCTATTACCTCATGAATACCTGGGGTTCCTTGTGAGGCAGAAACATGATTGGGAAATACTTGACAAAAAAGAAACTTCTAATAGAGCAGCCAAGTAGTTTTAGCTAATATTAACAATTTCTAGGCTCTAAGACAATGCAATTAAAAATCAAGAAAGGAAGAGTACAACAAGATGAGGCAATCCTGTGGATTAGCTTTATTTCAAAGAGATAAGCCAAAGTACTAAGAGCATTAAATACCTTTTTAGAAAAGCAGTCACATAGGCCACTTTTAAAACTACTATTTTTTATTCTTCTCTTCTTCCGTTACAAATACAACTCCCTATAAAAAGTTAGCAAATATCAGAGGTCAAATCTTACAAGTTAACCAATTACAACAGTCAAAGACACAGGTCAAATTACTCTGAGGTTTAAAATTAGCCTAAAAAAAAAAAATGACAGGTGTCAGCGGCAGATGCCAGGCAAACACTGATTCTTCAAAGCCTTCAGTGACTACAGGAGACAGGAAAGGACTTTACACCTTGAATTTACAGCAGAGCAGAAGTGTAACATCAGGCTTTTCTGTTTGGATGGTGATTGTGGTTCTTATACTTAACAACGTCAGTGTAGACAAGAATCTATCAAGATGAAAAGGGCTGCAGCCATCCCCCTTCACAATAAAAAGGCTGATCACTGTGGTTGCAATACAGGAAGCCACTTTGTTCCAGACATTGGAACAAAGGAAAATGAAGGGATCAAAGAAGTCCCTTCAGCACAGCCAGAGAAGAACAAAGGAGGCCTTGGCTAGCAAAATAAGTTTTATTTTGGCAAAGTGAGTGGTTTCCAAAATGTTTCCATAGCTTGTTAAAATTTATGTAATAAAGGATGGAAAAATTATTTATTAAAAACTGTCATTTGGCTTTTATCATTTCTCTTCTAAGTACTCTTAAACATTTGTATTTTTCTTAAATGTGATTTTTGTTTCTTCCTGTAGTCAAATTGTTTAGGTGTTCTCCCCAGGCATATAGTCTTACTGTGTAGCCCAGGCTAGCCTCAAACTTCATTTGCAGTCTAGTTCTCTGCCAGGCTCAAACGAGATTAGCCTCTAAATGATGGGATCTCTGTCGCAAAGTTGTAAGTTTATTAAGCAAAGGAAATTCCACACTTAGAACTGATTGTGGACTTTAAGACATTCTAGATGATTCAGACCACTTTGTCTCTTCTTTGTGATACTACTTCCCTAAGTGCAGAGCTACTTAACTACTCCCACCTAAACTAAATTCCATTTCTTTGTAACTACATGTATGTTTTGCCTCAGAAGAAAGCAAGAGTATAGTTAAACAGATCACAACAATCCTGATGCAACTAGAGAAAAATTAGGAGATAACAAGCTATAGAATACAGTAAATATAAAGGAGCTATAGAAAGTAAATGTTTACAAACCGCTAACCATTGAAGATGAACTGAAGATGAGTGTTTTGGGTTTTTGGAACTTCCAAAGGAATTAGAAAAATGACCATCATTTCAAGTGGTTGTATAGATTTGATAAACTATGATCCCCGCACCCCCCCCATCCCGCCCCCAACAGTGTTTCTCTTTGATGCCCTGGCTGTCCTGGAACATGTACTGTAGATCAGGCTGGCCTCCAAATCTGAGATCTACCTGCCTCTGCCTTCCAAGTGCTGGGATTAAAGGCTTTCACCAGCATGCCCAGTTACTGTGATGGTTTATGATGCCACCCCAAACAGATTCCTTTACTCCCACCTCTAACCCTATTGATCCAACAAAGTCCTCATTTATGCTAGTCCACAGTAAAAATGCTACCACTTTTAGAAGTATCTGCTACAAAAAACAAAAACCCAAAACAAAAACAAACAAAAAACCCAAAAAAGGCATTCAATACTTTTTTAAAGTTTTCACTGTACCCACTGGCTTCCAGTTTCTAAAACTAAATCTACTATTTTCTTTCAAGTAAGAAAGGCATAAGCCAGGAATGGTGGCACATGCCTTTAATCCCAGTACCTGGGAGGCAGAAGCAGTAGATCTCTGCAAGTTAGAGGCCAGCCCAGTCTACAAAATGAGTTCCAGCACAGACAAGGCTGTAACACAAAGAAAGAAACCCTGTGTTGAAAAATAAAAAACAAACAAAAATCAGTATTTTTCTCTTGTGTGATTTTGACTAAAAGTACCTTTCTAATCCTAGCTCTTCCACTACTTCAAAGAAAGATATCATTTTCCTTGAGTTATACATTGGTGCACAGATGCTATTGCAGTCTTTTGGTTATGTAATACAGTAAGGAAAACTACATCCTTCACTTATCAATTCCTGTATGAACCATCAACCTGAATTCCACTGCCACATGAAAAGCCCCACAGGATCACAAAGCAAACTGAAGTTCAGAATGACAACTGAATCCACAGACAATTCTGAGAGGCAACAACCTATGCAGTAACCTAAAAGTTTTTAAGCATGGAATCTGGCTAACTGCATACTACATTCTAATAGTTAAACCCACCTTCATTCATTGTTTAGGGAAAAGGGCTTCATTATTTAGTAAATTAAAAAAATTTAACTAATTCCTCCAAAATGTAAGCATGGTGGCAAGTGTCTATAGTCCCATTAACTTGAGAGGCTGAGGCAGGAGGATCCTTTGAAGGACAAGGATCCTTCTTGTCCTTACATGTAGCCTAGCAATAACTTGCATCTTAAAAAATAAACAAAAAAACCCACAACAGCTATGAGCTGATAAAATAACTGGTAAAAATCTAATAACACTGTACAAATAGGTTACTGTGTTCAGATGTAAGAGAAATAGTGCCAGAAAGATCTTGTAAGTAAGAGCACTTGCTGCCAAGCCTGAAAACTGATGTGAGTTGACCTCTTGGGTGTTTAATAGCTCAGTGGCAAGAATGCTTACTTAGTCTTTTTAAGGATTTAAGGACCCGGGTTTCATGCCCAGTACAATCAAGAGAGAAAAGAAATGGAATATGAAGAGAGGCAAACAGAGTAGCAGAAATAATGATAGCCTGACATTTTTGTTTTGTTGTATGATTTCACACTCAGACTTAAGTTCTTGGCAATTTGTATTTTGTTCAGACCTTAGAGCATAATACTGTTTAAGTAATAAAAAGTTCCATTGAGGATAAATCAGTGGAGAGAAAAACTGTATCATCCTATGTAAAATGATTATTCATTTTTCATTTCATTGAGTCAGGGTCTCACTATATAGCCTTGGCTGTCCTCGAATTCACAGAGATCTACTTGTCTACTTGCCTCTGCCTCCTTAGTGCTGGGAGTAAGGGCACACATCACCACTGCCCACCAAGATTAATTCTTTCAAGCATGTTTCACTGTTAACACAAATTAAGATAGATACAGGCGCAGACCTCGGGGAGAAAAAGCTTCTGGATTTTAAAACATTTCTGAAAATTCCTCTATATTGTTTTGAAAGTTAATTTTAGCTCAAACTTTGTAATTGATGGGAAAACAGCCTTTTAGAAACCTTCACCTTACTCTGGTGTTTTCTTTCTTTACTCCTTGTAAGCTATTTTAAAATTAAAGCTAGGGACATTCAAGTAACCACTTAATTTTTAAAAGAATATTTCCCAACATTTCTATTTTTAGAAAAAAAATGATAACCATTACTGATAAGAGAAATGACAAAGGGACATCCAGCTAAAAACCAAGGTTTTTCTGTTGCATATTTTCCTAAAAAAGTGTTTTTTTTTATCTGAAGCTATACATCATTTGTTAGATACTTAAACAATTAATAAAGTTGAAGATTCTTAAATTAGTAAAACTAGTGCCAGAAATAAATTGTAAAATAGTAATGGCAGATGAAACATTTACAATCTAAAATAATCTGCACAGAATTAACAGAAAAATACAACATTAAATTTGTTTCACTTAAACTAATGACAGGGAAAAACACATTATGCTCACCTTTAACAGTTTAATACAGACATTTTCCCTGAATATGTAGCTAAATCTGTTTTATCAAAATGTACCCACACAACCAGGCGTTGGTGGCACATGCCTTTGATCCCAGCACTCGGGAGGCAGAGGCAGGAGGATTTCTGTGAGTTCCAAGCCAGCCTGGTCTACAGAGCAATACAGAGAAACCCTGTCTCGAAATCTCATGGTTCATTGAAAAGTAATGACCACCTGTTTACACTTATATAATACTTCTGTTATCAAGTGTTTTCACAGACTCTGTCCTCTTTTTTCATAAGTTAATTTACATTTAATTGCACAGTGAATGGGGGGTGGTAGTGCCTCAAGTGTTTGCATGCTGAAGGAAGAGGACAGGGATAGTAAGTGTTATTTACATATTGCTAGCATTGAAGTTATTAAAACTTAGCTAAAGAATAGAGAAGGAAGATTTAACAGCAATGAGCTGCTAATATTTTCGTAGCCAAAGGAAAAAAGCTGATCTTCCATCAGCCTGTTTGGTAAATAAATGAAATATTATACAGGAGCTGGGAACTGATAGAGAACTTGAATCTGGAACAAAGAGCCAGGGTTAGCTTTTGGTTTTGGGGTTCTACCACTAGTTAGTTCTGTAACTTTGGCCACAACATATATGCAAGTGTGAGGAGCCAGAACAAGAGACTTCTCGGTTCCTTTCAGTATCTAAAAATGTGTTCAGTGGGGCACACACTTCAAGAGACAGTGGTGCAGCTTTATTCATTTCTTCTTGGGGAGGGGGGTATGCGTGTGTTTGAGACAGGGTTTCTCTGTGGCTTTGGAGGCTATCCTGGAACTCACTCTGTAGACCAGGATGGTCTCCAACTCAAGAGATCGGCCTGCCTCTGCCTTGTGAGTGCTGGGACTAAAGGCATGCGCCATCAGCGCCTGGCAGTTTTACTTATCTTGTATTTTCAAACTAAGGAATTTTTCAAGTTCTAAACATGAAATACTCTGAGAATGCACATTATGGCCTGTGTGTTGGCAAAGGTCAACAGCTGGTATCTTCCTCTAGTGCTCCACCTTCCTTTTGACATAGGATCTCTCACTGAACCTGGAGTTCAGCAAGCAGCAAGTTTGGGGGCTCCACCTGTCTCCACATCTGCCCTCCTCTCCTTCCTGCTTCTTTGCCTCACCTCAGTGCTGTTACAGCCCAACCTTTATATAGGTTCTTGTCCTCAGAACCATGCATGTAAGCACTTCAACAGCCGAGCTTTTTCCCTAGCACTTTAAAATTAAAAACTTACTGGTTTTAAAATTTACTGTTGAGGGCTGGAGAGATGGCTCAGAGGTTAAGAGCACTGACTGTTCTTCCAGAGGTCCTGACTTCAATTCCCAGCAACCACATGGTGGCTCACAACCATCTATAATGAGGTGCCCTCTTCTGGTGTGCAGATATACATGGTAGCAGAATGTTGTATACATAATAAGTAAATTCTTTAAAAAAAAATTATTGTCGAGACAAAGTCTCAATAGGTAGCCCAAGTTGGTCTCTTATGTGAAACCTTCAATTTCTCTGCCACCCAGGTGCTGAATTTCAAATGTGTACCACCACATGGCTTACTAGTATTCTTGACAGGAAGAATAAAAGATGTCTCCTATCATTTAAAGAATTGAGACTTTTTTTCCTCCAATAAAGTCTGTCCATTTCTCCCAGAAATTAGCAGAACTACTGCCTAAAAAACAGCCAACACTGAATTACTGTACTTAAAACTTAGGGTTAAAAAAGTTATTACATGTATTTGAAATATACCTAACAGTCTTTATGTGGGAGTTAGAGGACAGAGGATAACTTGAGGAAGCTAGTTCTCTCCTATCATGTAGTCCTGGGAATGGACTCAGGTTCTCAAGCTTGGCAACAAGCACCTTTAACCACTGAGCCATCTACTATTCTAGGCTGAAAAACTTCAATATCATTAAGAGTCTGAATTATTTGCTAAGAAAAAATAAATGTTTCATTCAAGAGAGCATCTTTCATCGAGAGTGTAAGATAAGGACGAACTTTATTTTGAAGCTTGACCCGCACACTACATATGAAATACACTGCTTGCCAAGAGTGTCAAGTAACTTTTGTATGCTTCTGTATATCTCTAAGTAAACAACTGTTGTAGAATATTATTTTAAGATGTGTTACTTTTGTTTAAGCCTGAAACATTTGTTTAATGATACAAAGATGTGTTTAATTAAATAAAATTCACCGTGGTAAGGAGGCTGCATCAGCAACTAGCCAACAGGAAGTTGTAGGGAGGAGCCAGGTGGAGAAGGGCTTATCAGGAGGGACGAGAAAAAGCACAAGGACTTCTTGGGAGATGTGAAGAGGTGAGCTAGATGAGCTGCTTGCTATTCAGTCTCTCTGAGAAGCAGGATTCTACCTCAACCTTTACATCTTGAGTTCTTTAGCAGGACAGAGATTTAAATAAGTTTCCTTAGTAGCTTTGAAAGAGTCAGTGCTTGAGGGAACAGAATTCCCTGAGGCGTCTGCTCTTGGGGCCTACCTACTACAGAGGAGTTGCAGTTGCTAAATAGGATAGCTGTAGCTGAAAAGACAACAATTAAAAGAGAAAAACAACAAACGACTTAAAAAAATGTATTTCCTCCACTAAGCACACATAAATAGCTTCCCTATTTAAATTGGTTTATAAAAACTGTAGAAAAAATTATGTTAGAAGTCCAAATCTGGGAATCACAAATATATTGTTATTATACTATTCACACATTTATCTCCATAATCATTATTAGCTCTGGCCCTTCTACATCAGTCAAAGAACCCTTGCACTCACCTTGTCCTTACATGGCCTTTGGCAGTTCTGTGCTGCACAAACGGCATTCTCATCGTCAGATTCCTCTGCTCCTGACCAGTCATACTTTGAGGGGATATCCAACACTTTTTTCTCTCTTTTCTTCTCAGTACTCTCTTTCACAAGCTCAACTTTGGCTGCAGCAGCCTTTTCTTTCTTTTTCTTTCTCTCTTCTTCTTTTGCTAGCTTCTTGGCCAATTTATTCAGCTCTTTTGATTTGTCCACATTTAATTTTAATTTCTTCTTTTTAGGTTTATCTATTTTCTTTAGCTCCTTGGTCTTCTGTTTTCCTTCTCCAAAAAACTGTTCCACCTTGTCTAGTTTCCGCTTCCGTTTCTTCTCTGAAGAATCCTTTCCCTTCATTTTTAGTGGTTTCTCTTCCATGCTATCATCCTTTAAAAATATAAAATTAACCAGCATTTTAATAGAAAGCTTAAAAAAATGCTGTTATTCTTTTATGTGAGGTACTTAGAACAAATAAATTAGCAGACACAAAAAGTAGAATAGGAGGTGAAGGGGGAGAAACGGACTTATTGTTTAATGGTACAGATTTCTGTTTGGGATGATTATAGAGTTGTAGGAAGCTTGGTATTGGTGGTACATATCTATAATCCCAGCACTTGGGAGACAGTGGCTAGGGAGTCGCTGCAGGTTCAAAGACAGCTTGGTGTATATAGTGAGAGCATGTCTCAACTTTCCAACCCCCAAAATGAGTTCTAGGGATGGGTTGTGGTGGCATTTGCATACAATATAAATGTACATAATACAACTGAGCTGTCTATTAAAAAAAAAAAAGGTAAGACGATAGCTTTTGTGCTGTAGCCACTGCACCAAAAATTTTTAAATGTCAAAAAAAACCCTATTCTTCTAAAGCTGTTTAAGAGACAGATTGGCTGAGCACGTAGTTCAGCAGATCATTCATAAGGACCTGAATTTGATCCTCAGCACACCATAAAATCAGGTGTGTGTTACATCCCTGTAACCCCAGCATTTAGGAGGCAGAGGCAGGAGATCAGAAGGTAAGGTCATCCTTTGCTATTCAGAAAGTTTGGGCTGTCAAAGTCTCTGTGTCAAAGAAAAATAAAAATAAGAGCCTGATTAAGCCAAGTGTGATTGTGCACACTTTTAACACCTCAGCACCCCCGAGGCAGTAGGTGATCTCTTCCAGGTCAAAGATAGTTCAGGCTACCTAGTGAGACCTCTTTGAGAGATTTTATAAAAAAAAAAAAAAAAAAAAAAAAAAAAAAAAAAAAAGAGTACAAAATAACACTAATCCTATATTCAGAAATGATTGCACATGCCTACAATCCTAGCATGATCAAAGGAGATCATGGATGTAAAAACACATTATGAAATATGAAATATAAATGTAGATGTAGTGAACTCTCCCGTCCAACTAATCCAGTTCTACTTAGCCACCCCCTTACCCTTTTTCCTGTGCACACGAGCATGCATATGATATGTGTATACAAGTTGGAATGTGTGTGGAAGCTTGAAGTTGATGTCTGCGTCTTCCTCAAACACTCTCCACTTTATCAAAATTGAGGTATGGTCTCTTTCTGAAGCTTAACATTTTTGCTTATGTGACTAGCCAGTTGGCTCCAGAGATTCCCTACCTCTGTGTCTCTAATACACTGGGATTATAGGCAGGTTACCAAGATCACTAGTTTGTTTTGTTTTGTTTGTTTTTGTTTTAAATGTTGGTGCTGGAGATCCAAACTCTGGTTCTTACGTTGGCACAGCAAGCACTTTACCTACTGACCCATCTCCCCAGCTGCACCTTTTAAAAATTACCACATTTATCCAAGCCCTTACTCCCCGACCCCCAGACAGGGTTTCTGTGTAGCCCTGGCTGTCCTCAAACTCACAGAGATCTGCCTCCCTCTGCCTCCTAAGTGTTGGGATTAAAGGTGTGTACCACATCTACCTAATTTTAAGATAGCTGTTCTAAAACCATTTGATTATTTAAAAAAAAAGAGAGATATTTTAAATTGTATGTAGACTTTGTGTGTTTCTGTGTGGATATATGCATATGAGTGGAGGGGTTCTGGAGTAGAGAAAAGAGTTTCAGATCCCCTGGAACTGGAACTGGAGTTAGAGGTGGTTGTGAGTCACTCAACATGCTCTTAACCACTGATGCATCTCTCTAGACCCTAAACTGCTTGACTTTTTGTTTGTTTCTGAGACAAGGGCTTGTGTAGCTGAGGCTGGCCTCAAAGAAGACAAGGATGACTTTGAATGTGTTATCTTCCTGCTTCCACTTCTGTTTTAGGATTACAAGCCTGCACCATGATACTTGGCTAAACTTTTTTTTTTTTTTTTTAAATATTTGCCTTTTTAAAGGAGAAATAAAAGAACTATCACACAAATTTCAATAAAGAAAACAAAGGAACAAATACTTCTGCTTAAATGAAAGAATAAGACTGCCAAATTACTTCCCACTCAGCCATCATTTTGACAGCATCCTCGGTACTACTAAGGACCTGGACATATTAAATATCTTTAAAATTCACTACTAAAGTTAGTATGAAGTCCATACCTCCATGATATGTAAGAATCTGTCCTCTGAGGGTGGATGTGTGGCCTGCAGAATCCGCCATATGTGTTGTGTTTCATCCAGAGACACTTCTAGGAGGTCTCCAACCATCATGAGTTCTTCCAACTGGGCTTTTGCTCCAGGAGACAACTCCAAAACTGGAGGCTCCAAACTTCGGGGAACCAAAGGGCTCTTCCGAGGCTGCTTTCTTGGTGTACTAGAACCTTTCCCCAAAGACATCATGAAACAAAGCAAAGAAGTGAAACTGGTAAACAAATGTTTTCAAAGTAAATGTTTAGGAAAGAAATTTTCCTCTCTCCTCTACAGTAAATTTAGATAACTGAATTATATTAGTATTAAAAAGGGGGCTAGGCAATGGTGGTGCACACCTTTAATACTTGGGAGGCGGAGGCAGAGGCAGAGGCAGAGGCAGAGGCAGAGGCAGGCATGTCTGTGAGTTTGAGGCCTGTCTGGTCTACAGAGCTATTTCCAGGACAGCTAGGACTGTTACACAGAGAACCCCTATCTCAAAAAACAAAAAGAAACCTCCTCCCCAAAGAAAGATGCTATGCTGCTTGGGAGTGGTCTCAAAATATCCTCTTATTTCAAGCTCCCAAGTAGCTAGAATATAGGCATAAAAATAAAAATGAAATAAAAAATGAATATAGGAAGCTGGGGACATGGCTCAGTGTGCACAGTGTTCGCTACACAAACATAAGGACCTGAGTTTGGATCCCTAGCACCCACCCACATGAAGTTGGGTGCAGCAGTGAGCACTGTGACTGTAACTTAGTGCTGTGATATGGAGACAGCCAAATATTTCAGTCTAGTCCGTCAGTGGGCTTCAGGTTCAAATGAGAGATCCTGTCACAAAATCAAGACTGAAACTAATAGTGGAAGACACCTGACATCAACTTCAGGCCTTCAAGCACATATACACCCATAACCTGCCCCACAAAGGAAGCTAAAATCCTAAGGGCCATCCTCAATAGCCGATTTAGAGTTTAAATCTGGTTCTTTCAGGGCGATGGTAGTGCATGTGTTTAACCCCAGAACTAGGAATTAAAGGTAGATGCAGGCTATCTCAGTGAATTAGAGGCCATTTTCCAGAGCAGTGAACTAAAGTACTACTTATTTTCTCTAGGTAAAAGAAAAATGAACATCACTGAGCTAGCACTCATCAAAAGAAAGACCTTTCTAACAGCCAAGAATGGCAAAATCTGGGACTTGAGAGAGGACTTGGTGATTGAAAATACTGCTCTTAGCCAGGTAGTGGTGGTATACAACTTTAATCCAGCACTTGGGAGGCAGAGGCAGGCGAATCTTAGTGAATTCGAAGCCAGCCAGGTCTACAGAATAGGTTCCAAAGCTACAGAGAAACCCTGTCTTGAAACACCAAATAAACAAACAAAACATTGCTCTTGCACAAGATACAGGTTCGATTCCTGGCACCCACATGGTAGCACACAACTACCCATAAATATTTCCAAGGGATCCAGTGTCCTCTTCTGACTTCCTCAGGCACCAGGCACAGACACAGTGCACATATATAAAAGCAGGCAAAACACTCATGCACATTAAAAAAAGAAAAAAAAAATCTTAGCCAGGTGTTGATGGCACACACCTTAATCCCAGCACATGGGAGGCAGAGGCAGGTAGATCTCTGTGAGTTAAAGACCAGCCTGGTCTACAAGAGCTAGTTCCAGGACAGCCTCCAAAGCCACAGAGAAACCCTGTCTCGAAAAAAATAAACTAAAAAAAAAAAAAAAATCTTAAGACAAAACAAAACAACCCCCCCACTGAAGCCCAATCAGGTATAATGGTGCACATTTGTAATTCCAGCACTCAGGAAACTGATGCATGAGGACTGCTATAAATATGAAGCCAACAGAGGCCACACAAAGAGAATTATTTAGACCAGCCAAAGCTATAAAATGAGACTCTGGGGCTGGAGAGAGAGATGGCTCAGAGGTTAAGAGCACAGACTGCTCTTCCAGAGGTCCTGACTTCAATTCCCAGCAACCACATGGTGGCTCACAACCATCCGTTATAAGATCTTGTGCCCTCTTCTCGGTGTGCAGATATACATGGAAGTAGAATGTATAAATAACAAATAAATAAAATTTTAGAGAGAGAGAGAGAGAGAGAGAGAGAGAGAGAGAGAGAGAGAGAGAGAGACTGTCTCTAAACCCCAAAACAATAGTCCACAAAATAAAATCTGGAGCACTGAGTTTCTTGACAACTGGTATTGATCAAGCAGAGGTAAGTGTAGGTCGGCCAGAGATTCTACACAAAAATGACACGTGACCATGTGACCATAAAATTTTCCTAATTAGGATGCTATAGTTCTATTACCTTTTCAGGCTATCATCTAATGACAGAAAATGAAAAGCAGATTTTGACTTTCCTTAACCACAATAGTGTTTTCAAGTTCTTTTAGTAGGTGACAACCATGTACGTATTCAAGAGGAATTGACAATCTGAATTAATACGAATTGACTTACTTTCTATGGATACATAATTTTATTTATTTTTTCCTCAGGGCTGAGGACCAAACCTAGGAAATGCAATTGCTAGGCAAACACTCTACCACTGAATTAAATCTCCAACCCTTATGTTTTCTGATTTGTTTCTTTTCTTGGGGGGGGGGGGGTAATCCAGACAGGGTTTCTCTGTGGCTTTGGAGGCTGTCCTGGAACTAGTTCTTGTAGACCAGGTTGGTCTTGAACTCAGAGATCTGCCTGCCTCTGCTGTGATCATGTGTTTATTTTTCATTTCTTGCGTGAGTACAGGGGCACATGTGCCATAGCATTTGGTAGTTAGATGCCAGTGTCTTCAGTGTTGAGGAACCTGTTTCTCCTGTTGTGTTGTTTACTGCAGACTGTCTGGCCTGAGAATTCCCAGACAAATCTCCTGCCCCAGCGTGAGGATTTCAGATGCATGCCACTGCAGCTAGCATTTTTATGAGGGTTTTGGAAATCAAACTTAGGTGGTCAGACTTGCAAGTCTGGTGCCGAACCACCTCCCAGGTCCACTTATATTTTTAGAAAGGCAGGTCTAATGTAGCCCCAGGCTGCCCTTAAACTTGCTATCTAGTTTGAAAAGAACTTGACCTACTGGGCTCTCCTGCCTGCACTTCCTAACCTAAGTGCTTGGATTCTAAGAATTTGCCAGCATGCCCAGATCCTACACATCTTTCCAAGGGTAATTATTACCTTGAGAACAACTCTTAGAAGCAGAAGAATATGCATGTTCTGCACAGAATGAAGGTGCTGTCCACATGTGAGTCACTACTTCCTCAGACTTGATGGGAATTTCTTCATCACAAAAGAGATTAGGTTCTAGACTACTAGAGGACTTCACACTGGCTGTATCCTAAGGAACAAAGGAAAGTTATCAGAATTATAGCCACTTATTCTACAAAAACCTGTAAATGAATGCTTTCAGGTTAAAAACTTCTGATAATAAGACACTAAAAACATGAAATTAAAATTAACTATGATGTTAATATAGAAAATAACAACTCGTGAATACACACAAACACAGAAAAGCTTAAATAACTTGAGCCCAAAAGGGAAAGTCAAACTAAAAATAATCTACAAAGATACCATTACATTATCTACCCAAATCTATTTAATTCTATATAAGCATCTAACTAACTTACTAACAAGAATCCTTTAATTTCTTTTTCTTCTAATTATATGTGCGTGCGTTCGTGCCCATGAGCTCGCACTCGAGTGTGTGACTGTAGATACTAATTGAGGTCAGAGATATTGGCTCTTCTTGAGGTGGAATTACAGGTGGTTGTAAGCTAACCAATGTGCTTCCTGGGAAACAAACTCAGGTCCTCTGCAATAGAAATATGTGCTCTTAACAATGGAAACCATCTCTCTAGCCCCAAGTTAGTTTTTGTTTTTTTTTTTTTTTTTTTTGAGATAGGGTTTCTCTGTATTGCTTTGGAGCCTATCCTGGCACTCGCTCTGGAGAGTCTGGGATTAAAGGTGTGTGCCACCAATGTCCGGCCCACATTAGTAATTCTTGATTTTTTTTTTCCCTCTCCCCAAGGTAGAGGTGTCTCTGTGTAACATTCATAGCTGTATTGGAACTCAATTTGTAGACCAGGGTGGCCTCGAACCCACAGAGATCAGCCTGTCTCTGCCTCCCAAGTGCTGGGATTAAAAGTGTGTGCCACCACTGCTCAGCAATTCTTGATCCTTTAATAGAAACACAAAATGGACTTAAGAGGAAGAAGGAAAGTTCAAATGTGATATTTTAAGACACACGTAATTTAATCTCTTCTAAAGGCTTTTGAATTCACATACTCTTACCAAGTAACCTTATGTAATACAATAAAGAACTTGAATGGCATTATACAAGTTATACAATTCTGACAGTCCTAGTTAGGTCTCAGATGATTTTCCAAGAAATTCTCTTCATCTTTATTTTGCATTATCACTTCAACTTTAATTTTAACTTCCAAGTTTAGGTAATTTTGACCATTTTCTTTCCTGTGGTGGTAATAGTTGTTTTAAGTTGCTAATAAGTGTATTTCTATGTTTGATTTGTCTAATCACAGAGTGTCTTCTCTCTGAGTGGTAATGGGCATTGAGCTATAAAGAAAGTACCTCTCACTAAAAAAAGAAACCCCAAGGCGGGCGTTGGAGGCGCACGTCTTTAATCCCAGCACTCGGGAGGCAGAGGCAGGCTGATCTCTGTGGGTTCAAGGCCAGCCTGGTCTCCAGAGCTAGAGCCAGGACAGGCTCCAAAGCTACACAGAGAAACCCTGTCTTGAAAAACCAAAAAAAAAAAAAAAAAAAAAAAAGAAAAAGAAAAAAGAAACCCCAAATAAAATCAAGAGAGGCATGTGGATCTATCTCTATTGAGTTTAAGGCTAGCTAGAACTACATAGTAAAAACCCTGTCTCAACAAAAGAAATAAGGTAGGGCTGCAACTATCTCAGTAGGAAAGGGTACTTGCTGCCAAGGATGATACCTTAAGTACGATCACCAAGACCCACATGGTGGAAGGAGAACCGACTTCTAAAAAGTTGTCCTATGACCTCCATACATGTGTCATGGTGTGAATGAGTAAGTGCACACAAACAAATGTGATTTTAAGAAATTAAAATAAGGTTGATGGTTCCTTGAGGAACCATACCCAAGATTGATTTCTGGTATCTACAAACATGCACACCCAGCCACATACATATATACATAACTGTATACTCGTACATACCCATACAAGACTCCGCCACAGAATTTTTAGATTTGAGAGATGGTTTAAGTGGCTAAAAGCACTTGCTACTCTTGCAGAGGACTGGGGTTTGATTCTCAGGCAAAGTACTCATACACATAAAAAAATGAAAATAAAATAAAATTTTAGATATGGTAAATACTTTAAGCAAGCAGCAGGATATAAAAATCAACAGAAAAAAATTAGTAGCTTCAGGTGAGAGATGGATCACAGTCATTAAAATGGTTGTTGCTCAAACATAAGAACATTGAGTCTGATCCCCAGCATCTATGCAGAAAAATAAAGTCAGATATGGCAGCACACCTGTGCTTTAAGAGCTGGGGAGGTGGAGACAGAAAAAGTCCTGGGGCTTTCTGGCTTTGTAGATAAAGTGTTTGCTGCAAAAGCATGATGACCAGAATTTGGATTCCCCAGAACTAATGAAAAACCTGAGTAGGTAAAGCAACCATCTGTGTTTAGAAGGGAGGCAGAATCGTTGGGGCAAGATAACTAGCTGGAATCTGAGAACTCCAGATTTAACAAGAGATTCTAAACCAACAATTAAAGTGGAAAGTGGCCCAGAAAAACCTCTCAACAACATAATTCCCAGACTTCTACATAAAAATGCTGGCACAAAAACCATTGGCCAGGTGGCGGTGGCACACATCTTTAGTCCCAGCACTTGGGAGGCAGAGCAGGCAGATTTATGTGAATTTGAGGCCAGCCTGGTCTACAGAGCTACACGACAGCCAAAGAAATCCTGTCTCGGAAAACCAAAACAAAACAAAAAACCAACCAAAAGCAAACAAAAGATAAGTCAATGGGCACAGATGGAATGTCTCCTAATCTTTGAAGAATGCCTCTACATCAGAGTACGAAGCTCCCAGGTTAATAGGCACAGATTCTAAGAGAGCAACCAAGTCACGCATAAAACTACCACCTACTTTTAGGTGTCTCTCCAGATCCACGTTATCATGAGGCAAAACCCAAAGGGCTTACATCTAACACATAGTGCCAATGAAAGGCCAACTGGTCTAACACAAAGGTGTTGAAGTCAGTGTATTGTCACCAACAAAACAATCGTACTAATGTTAATTTGTTCTAAACATAACTGTACCCCTGCAAATACTAACTAAGGCAAAGTACAACACTGTATCTAGCACTCTTTGTGCAAAGAGACCAGAAGAACACAATAGGTTTCTATCAGGGAACTACTTAAGCATGGGCCAGAAATAAAAACGTTGCTTCCACCAAAATATAAGTACTGGAGTGCTTCAACCTAATACCACAGAGTTGCAGTCCTGCAGCCTTATAATCCAAGGCTATGTCCAGAACGCAACACTGTTTAATCAGAATGATTAACTAAGTACACAGCAGAGATTGCGTAACTAGAAATCACCTGCACAGCTCATACTAACCTTCTAAGACCAACACTGGCCAATTTTGACTGCTACTGGAAACTGAACACAAAGTACTCACTCTAACTGAACAAGAGCATCTTCAAAATGGGAGATGACCCCTGTAGACTGTCATCTTATGTTACAAAAAGTCTCTTTGTTATGACCTAACTCTTTGCCCCTTGCAATGTAGTATTTTTTAAAAGATTTATTCTTTTTTATTTATATTTATGTGCTTGTGTGAATTTACATGCAACACATGTGTGAAGGAGCCTACGAGACCAGAAGAGTACTGGATTCCAGGAATTTGAGTTATAGACGTTTATGAGCTTCCATGTGGGTGCAGGGAACTGAAGCCAGGTTTTCTGTAAGAGCAGTAAGCAATAGGCACTTGTAGCACCCACCCCTACCAGCTCTCATTTCTCCAACCGCATAGTTTTCTATTACATGAAAGGCGAATTCATTCAGTCAGTAATCTCTTCCCCACCAGTAGTGTCCATCACACTATGCAGGGGAAAAAAAAAAAAAAAAAAAAAAAAAAAAAGTCCAGAGCAGAACTCTTAGTACATCTAGGGTGGGATGGTTAGATTTTGGCTGACTAAACAGGGTTTCTTTCACTAAGCAGCCTATCTGGTCCAGAACTCACTAAGCAGACTAGGCTTGCCTCTGCATCCCAGTTGCTGGGATTAAAGGTGTGCTAAATACCTCTGTGTAGACCGTGTAGGCTGTCATGGAACACTGTAGACCAGGGATCTGCCTTCCTGTGTCTCCCAGAGATGGGATTAAAGAATCCCAGGCTTGGGATTCTTAAAACATAACTGTACAGATACTCTTTGGTAGTAGTGAAGCAAGAACCCAGTGTCACACACACAAAGCCAAATGCTACATTTCTAGCCTCCACCTTAACAACTCAAAAAGATTCTAAAAATGTTCTATCAACATATACACATTTTAATTTAAGTCGTAAAGATTTTTAAGATGAGAAAAAGAGGAACAATTTTTTCCCCAAAATATTTTTGAGAAAGTCCCTGTATATGTAGCCCTTGCCTGGCCAAACTCATTATGTAGATCAGGCTAGTCTTGAACTCACAGAGATCTATCTCTCCTTCCCCATTATTGGGATTAAAGGCACGTGACACCAAACCCAGAACAATAAAAAGCTTTTAAAAATTATTTTTATGTGCCTGCACAAGTATTCATTTATATGCATGTGTTTGAGGCCTCAGGTGTCATTCCTCAGGAGGCATTCACCTTTTTGTTTTGGAGACAGGGTCTCTCTGTGAAGAGCAAGTCCCAGGGATCCACCTGTCTCTACCTCCCCAGTATGGACTTATAAGCACACACTTTCACAACATTTTTAATGAGGGTATTGGGGAAATAAAGGCAAGTCCTCCTGCTTTTTGTGAGGCAAGCAGTTTACTGACAGAGCTTTCCATCTAGCTTTCTCTAATTATCTTAAATTGTTTTGGGATGAGCAAGGCAGCTACCACCTAGCCTGACCATTGGGTGGGATCCCTAAAATCCACATAGTAGAAGCAGAAAACTGAATCTGCCAAGTTATCCTCTGACCTTGTAATAGCCATAGCAGGGACACTTCACCACAAACATAAGATTTTTTTTTTAAAGTTTCAGTTTTTATTTTTCCTTTAAGTTTTGAAAAACTGCTATCACCACTTACTCAAGACTAATATGTAAGTAGGTTTCTCTTCCACCCTCAGTCCTCAAGTATTAATGGTCGGCAGTTTTAAAAATAGAACTCACCAGAAATGTATTCCTAGCCTGCCCCTGTAATTACCTTCATGTCATAGCCATATGTCTCTCGAATATCTTCATCAGAATCCGTTTCCTCATCATCATAGTCCATTGTTTGGCGGGGGGAAGATGATACACTGCTCGCCACCCGGTTAAAAGCTGATTGCTGGAAGCTAGGTAAATGTCCCTAAACAACAAAAATGAACAGACAAACAGATTAAACAAACAGGTAATTAATACATGTTTAACATCAATAAAATATAACTAACTTACTTAAAAAGCAGCTAAAAGAAAATAAATAATGCTATAGTCTACCTGAATATTTTCAGATAGTATTTCACTGAAATGACCTGAAGAAAAGTAAGGCCATGTATGCAGAAGGAAGAAAATGTTATGGATCATATAACTGCTGGCCAATTATAGCCAATTTTCTACCTAAGTAAACAAGTTAAATCCGTTTAATTTACTAGTCAAAAACTGAGAAATACTACTACATGAAACACAAGAAAGTAAATTAGAAGCTGACCTGTAAGTCTGGATTAGCAGCTGCTTTTTGGAGCTCTGCACTGATAATCTTTTCAGTTTTTTCTCGAGCTGCTTGTTCCACCATACGTTGACTTAACACAGAGAGTTTGGCCAGGGCAGAGGACAGTTCATCTGTGGCTAAGGCTTGCCGTGCTCTATCTTGCCAACTCATGGCACGTTCTGTCAAACACTGAAGTGCCTCTCCTTCAGGCAACCGTACAGGCAACTTCTGAAGGGATACCAGCAATGACAGAATAGTCTCTAGCCTGGGCCTTCGAGATCTCATGCAAAGAGGGCAAAGGAATTTTACGTCTTTAGCTTGCCAGCTGGATCCCTTTTTCTGGGAACTTGATTTAGGAAGGGGAACACAACTATTATGAAACCAGTCTTTGCAGAGCTCACACTGTAGCATAAACCCACTGGCTGTCTTCCGACAAATACAAAATTTTACTTCTTCTATGCGGTCCCCAATTGTCATCTTGGCCAAGTTGGCTGCTCTGAGGGAATGCATGGCCTCAATCTCCTTTTGCTCCCGTTCTTTGAAAACTGCCACCTGTATACAACAAGCATTTAATTAAGGAGAGTAATTTGAAAAACCCACAAAGTATCCAAGAACGCCAATGGCAATTTCCTGAAATGTGGGTTACCCTTCCAGTTTCCACATAAAGATTTCTCATCTGTAAAATGACAAACTGCTATAATATTTGACATTTTATATGAGAGTACTCTCTGTAGGGCACAGGACAAAGAGGGTATTTCTTCAGATCAAGCACTTGCACCAAGCACCTGGTACCAAGGTACCAGGAATCCAAGTCTGGCTCTTGGACTTAAAGACTATTGAAAGAATAGAAAAAGAAAAATAAACCCTTTGGGGAAGAGAACAAACAGCAAACTTTTAATACTATGACACACACACACACACACACACACACACACACACACACACACACACACACCCATAAATAACACAGGTAAATAAACAGTTAAAAACCTACTACTAACATCTTTCACAGAGCTTTGCATTCACAAACAAATTCAAGGCCCATCACTTAGTTCCTTACCACCATGGCTGTATCTCTGGTCTCCTCCAGTCCTTCCTCTAAGTCACTCAAAGGCTCAAGGTCTAGGTCCTTTTCCTTTTCTTTTTCTATTATTTCTTTTACTTTTTTCCTCCTGTTTTTACCACTCCCATATACACCAATGTCAGTTCGGGGACTTAGCACCTGCAAAATTGAAAAAAATATAACTCTAGTTAAAAACAAACAAAACAAAACAAATTAAAACCCTTGAGAGTGAAAGTGACCATGAATGAATCATTCACCATGTACAAAGTAACTATTTATTCTCATATTTTAGAAGCAGGATCTTATTTTGTAGTGCAGGCTGCCCTACAATTTGTGGTGAACCTCTCACCTCAGCCACACCAGGGATCCATGTATGTTATCTGTTTATATTTTCATAACAACTGTACATAGCAGGCATTATTTTCCAGATTTTATTGATAAGAGAGACAAGGGATAATTTGTCCAAGGATAAAGGTTGAAATTCCAAAGTCTGTCATCTTTAACTATTGTGTTCAACTGCTCAGGATAAAAAGAATTAAGTTGGGCTGGAGAGATGGCTCAGCGGTTAAGAGCACTGACTGTTCTTCCAGAGGTCCCAAGTTCAATTCCCCACAACTGGTGGCTTACAACCACCTAGAATGAGATCTGGTGCCCTCTGCTGGCATGCAGGCAGAAGACTATATACATAATAAATAAATAGAATCTTAAAAAAGAAAAAAAAAAAAAAGGATTAAGTTTATGTCTCTGAGGGATAAAACATTTTAGTAGAGTCTATTAACAGAGGTTAAGATATATGCTGGTTGCTATTTCTGGATACAAGCACAGATTAATGAGACAAAAAAGAAAAAAAAAAAAAGAACTTGCTTAAGACTTCAGGTTTCAATTCAACACCTAATACTACCTAATTCTATAATTAATAGAAATTAATTATAATAATGACTAAATTAACTGAAAAGAATCTTCACCAACACCACTACAGGTAGGGATTTGTCAACTGCTATGAGAGCGCTGCAGACCACACATATGCATTATTCTTCACCTGTAACAATGTATGGCTGGAATTCTTCTTAAGGAAGGTCCGCCCAGTCCGTTCTCTCCAGGCCCTTGCTGCTGCGACCTGTGATTCCACTTGAGGCAAAGCATCAAGACGAACAGGGATAGGGCGTCCTTTAGCAGATAAGCTCTCAAGCTGCTCCAAATAAGCATAGTTGCTGCCACTCTGGAAAAAGTAGATTCACACACAATTTTAATTCTTTCATAGAGTCTGGCAATGAATGTACTGTTGGGGAAACTTGGTTTAATATTAACTTTTTTTTTTTTTTTTTTAATACTAAGCATGGAATAGATCCCAAGTCTCGTACACCAGGCAGGCACTGTACCACTAAGGGACATCTTTAGTCATAGCGCTAAATTTTGTGCTAAACCAACAATTGTTCACCTTAATGAATTTAATTCCAAATTTTACAGAAAAAAAGTTTATAAAAATTAATTTAAGCCGGGCATTGGTGGCGCACGCCTTTAATCCCAACACTAGGGAGGCAGAGGCAGGCGGATCTCTGAGTTCAAGGCCAGCCTGGTCTCCAGAGTGAGTTCCAGGATAGGCTCCAAAGCTACACAGAGAAACCCTGTCTCGAAAAACCAAAATAAATAAATAAATAAATAAATAAATAAATAAATTTAAGAATTAATTTTAGAGACAGTGTCTCAATTACGTAACCCTGAATGGCCTAGAACTCACTTTGTAAGCCAGGTTGGCCTTATACTCAGAGATTCACTTCTCTCTGTCTCCCAAAGAATTAATTTTTTAATGAACAAGTTATCAAAGATTTTCTTTTAATAACTAATAAGGGAACCAATAAGATAAAAATACTTCAAAGGACAAGTGAAGAACAGAAATGTATAGATGCAATTACAAATGAATAATCAATTTGCTACTAGATGCCAAGTAAGTCTTTTTTAAAGATTTAAAAAAAACAATTATGTGTATGAGAGTCTTGCCTGAATGTATGTGTACATTAAGTACCCACGGAGGCCAGAGGTGTTGGACCTCTTTGAACTGGAATCATATAGATTGTTGAGAGCTGCAATGTGGGTGCTGGGAACTGAAGCCAGGTCTTCTACAAAAGCAGTAGGTCCTCTTAAACCCTGAGCCATTGCTTCAGTCCCTATAAACAATGTCACAGGGGACAATGAAACAATCTTTTCTACAGAGTGGAAATACATTTTACCATTACAATTCCAAATTTAATTTCTATAGACATAAAACTAATAGCAGTATCTTAGATTGGATAACCACCTACTGCTTATGTTATACAATGAAAGCTATGAGTTACTATTTTCCTCCTAAATTCATGGTGTCTCAGTATTTCTATGAAATGAAATCACTACTGTTTTTTAGAACCATTATATTCTAGTAAAAGATTATTTCTCATGTAGCAACTGACATAATTGCCTGAAAATTTTATTTTGAAAGATATCCTGACATCTGGGAAAATAAGGACAAGATATCTATGAATTTAGGCTGAGAGTGGTGGTGCATGTCTATAATCCCAACACTCAGAAGATAGAAAGTGGATTCAGAGTTTAAGGCCCACTTTAGCTACACAGCAAATTTGAAGTCAACTGGTGCTATATGAAATACTGTTTTAAAAAACAACCAAATAAATCTATGACTTCTTTAAAATAATAATAAAGACACTGGAACTGGAGAAATGGCTCAGTGATTAAGAGGTTTCTGCTCATGTAAAAGACAGGTTCAGTTCCCAACACCCACATGTCTATAACTCCAGTTCCTGGAAATCTGATACCCTCTTCTAGCTTTTGTGGGCTTCTGCATATGTGGTACACATACATATACTCAGGCATAAATACATACACATAAACAATGATTTTAAGTAATAATATACTCTGTTACTATAAATACTATAATGGCACAAATCACAAAGGAAACCAGGATAAGAACAGTTAGCTAAATACACAGATAAAAATGCTCAGTCATCGAAAAGCCAAACTATTGTCCCTTGACTACAGAATATCCTCTGGATAAACCAAGAAGTCACATAACTTGAAGAAGAGTTGTCCTACTTAAAACAACAAACAAACAAACAAACAAAAAAAAAAAAAAAAAAAACCTGCTCAAATAGAGCCTACAAGTCAGCACTCTACCAAAGGGAAGGACTGCCAGACACTCCTTAAAAATTATTAAGGAGGTTAAGTCAGAAGTGAGGTAGCAGGGGCAAGCTAGACTGGGCTACATAGTGAGTTCCAGGACTCTATTCTGAATTTCAGGCCAGTCAGAGCTATACAGTGAGAGAGCTATACAGTGAGACCTTGTCTCAAAGAACAAAAAAATACAAAACAAATAATTTATATGCCATAAAATATAAATGCTCCCTTCTCTGAAAGTTGAATACCTTAACTCTACCACCTTTCCTAACCAAAACCTTAAAATATTTACTATTTATTCTGAATTATAAAATCAGAGGAAAGATAGGTGAACTTTAGGTATTATTATTTTTTCTTTTCTTCTCAAGACAGAGTTTCTCTATGTAGGTAGCCCTGGCTATTATGGAACTCCCTCTGCAGACCAGGCAGGCCTCCAAGTCATAGAGATTCACCTGCCTCTGCATCCCAAGAGCTGGAATTAAAGGCGTGCTACACTACTGCCCAGTCAGGTACAATTACTTTATAATGATCATTCTAAACAAGTAAGGTTTACAGTTTATTTATGAGAAGGTATTACCTGGTAGGTAGGCTAATCTGAAAGTTTCTTTACCTGAATAGCTTCCACTTTAGCTGTCCATTCACGAGCCTTTTGTAAAGCTTCTTTTAAGGACAACACATTAGGTAGAAAGGCTGGAATGTTCTTGGCTTCATTCACAATATTTTCTAAATTCGCCATACTGTGTCGAGGTCTAAATAAATAAAATATTAAGATACTAAGTAAAAGTCCAATTACTGTAAGAATTAAAGCAACATTTTAGTGTGTAAATAACTCACATTCATGAGCTTATTTAATTATCGCATTCCCATAAGCAAACAAAGCAGCCACCATCATTATTTCTATTTTTATAGACAAGAAAACAAGATTCATTCCTCTTAAAAATAATAAAGTACATGACACACCTGATATACTAATTTAGAATGAGTCTTGGATCTAGGCTCCTTTTACTGCTTAGTCCTAGACCACCTCCACTCTACCTCTCTAAAATACCTGCAATGCTCAGAGATGGGCATGGACTAGCAACATAGGGAGCAATAAAACAGAAATCCATTTGTGTTGACCATATACTTTGGTTCATTAATATCTAATTATTCACTGGTGAACAAAAACAAAGACCTCATTCTCATTAATCAAAATCCCAGAATTACACTGGTATTGGAAACTAGGATCAAATAAATTACTTTAGGCTCATAGCGATGGTAAGGTGCCCAGAGAATTCAAAGTCTTAGAAAACCAAGGCCCTATATCTAATGAAAGAAAGTAGAAAAAGTATGGACAAATTTTGTTTTTAAGTTGGTAGTTTCAGCCTGAGATGACACAAAACTAGTGTGTGCTTCAATGAGCATTTTGTAATTCTTATTTCCTAACTGTATCAACAACATGGACTTGAAACAATACTATTTCCTATCATTTGCAGTTAACTAACAAAATCCACTACACATCAGTCTGGATATATCTGAAACTTTCTACAGGTAGCCCCATTTGATAGCTAGTGATTGATTGGTCAAGAAGGCTCAAGACAAGTAATGTAAATTAATGAAACAGATTTTATGTTCCTCCATCTCATTCTACTTTTTACTTACTTTTAAAAGTTATTTTATGTGTATGGATGTTTTCTCCTGCGTATGTGTCAAAAGGAGGCCAGAAGAGGATATGGGATTCTGTAGAACTGAATTAAGTTACAGTTGTGTGCTGCCTTGTGCTGGGACTTGAACCCAGGTCCTCTGGAAAAGCAACCAGTGCTCTTAACCACTGGCTATCTCTACCCCTTGACTTAAAGAGACAACTGTCACCAAAATGTTTTTACCTTGCCTGTAGGCAGACCTTAGCCTTCTCTTCCCATCGTTCCGAGACTGTGAGGAGCTCCTGCAGTTCAGCCATTGCTTTTTCCACAGCATGGTGAGGTGCCAACCCTACCCCAGAGTCAATCAGTTTCTTCATGACATCCAAAGTGACTTGTTGTGGATCTGACAGGGTTAGTCTTACTTCATCCAGCCACCGAGCCTGCTGTAGCTCTTGCTTCAGTCGAGGCAATTCAGGTAGTTCTACATAGAGACTAGAGCCCATGTCTATCAACATTTGGAGTTTGGAAGAATCTGGGGTTTCATCCATCATGGCCTCTTGGGCACGTTCATGAAATTCTTCGACATCATCCAGTAAATTCTGAAAAGGTAAAAAAATAAAACAAAAATAGCAAATTTTGTTTGAAGCTACAGCTAATTAGTTAAAGAGTACTTGCCTAGCATGTGCACGGCCTTGGGTTTGATACCCAATCCTGAACTCTACTACTAAAAATAAAAGAGCAAGGGATAGAAATAGGTTTGGGAGACTATCAATTCTAGACCCTCTTACAATCGCACCATATTAGCACCAAATATTCAGACAAGCATGTTACCTGGTAACTAATTTCTTTCTATACTCCCTTTTAAAAAGATTTTTTTATATGTATGAGTGTTCTACCTGTGTTCGAGCGCACGAGTGTGCTTGGTGCCCTCAGAGGGCAGAATAGGACATCAGATCTCCTGGAAATGGAGGTAAGGATAGTTGTAAACTACCATGTGGGTGTTAGGATCCAAATCTGGGTTCGTCCTCTAGAAGAGGAACTGGTGCTCTTTATTGCAGAGCAACCTCTCCAGTTCCCATCTATACAATTAAAATATGGCTGAATCAATAAAACATATCTTTTAATGACAAGGGAAATATAACCGATTCATTCAATAGATAGTAAATGCCAAATAGCTTAGACACAGGCATTGTTGTAACAGTATTTGGAAGTCTTTGCAATCAAAGAGCCAGCTTATGTCCCATGTTCCTCTCTTTCTTTGTTGGGGGATGTGGGGGAGGGGAACATGCCACTGGTATGTGTACACTGAGAACAAAAGACAACTTGTGGGAGGTGGTTCCCATCCTAGATTTCGTGGGTCTCGGGAATGGAACTCAGGTCATCTGACTTGGCGGCAAGCATTTTTACCTACTGAGCCATCTTGCTAGACTCCATACATTCAAATAGAGGTAGACAGTAATATATATCTAAATAAAATATTTCAGTTAAACATTCTAAACATAAAATAGGAAAACCTAACAGAGAATGACCCAAGGTGAAAAAAGGCATATCAGCTACTAAGCAGTAACCATATATGACAGCAAATCAAAACTAAAACAAAGGATTAAGGAGATGGCTCAGTAGATAAAGTGCTTGCTATATAAACACGAGAACCCACATAAAGGTGGGCAGGAATACTAGCCTGCTTGTAATACAAACACTTGGGAGCTAAGAAGGGAATCCTTAGGGCAAGCTGGCTAGCTGGCCCAGTTTCAGGTTTAGAAAGAAATCCTGCCTCAGTAAATAAAGTGGAAAGAGCCCACACCTCATGTACCTGTACAAATGTGTGCCCACATAGGAACATGTGTATGTAAGTTCATGCATTATCATAAAAGGAGGGAGGGAGGGAGAAAAGAGGGAAAGGAAAGATTAAATGAAGAATTGGGGTGAGAAAGTGGTAGAAAAGGTTCAAGCATGGCAAACATTAATGCCCGCCCCCCTCCTTTTCTGAGACTGGTCTCCATCTATCCCAAGGTGACCCTGAACTATGTAGCTAAATATGACATTGAACTTCTGACTCTCTGAGATGGCAATTCGTGGCTGTCAATTTGACTATGTCTGGAATGAAGTACAATCTAAAAATACATATATACATAAAAAGTAAATGTACCTATTTCTACCTAGCCATCCTCAGCAATGAGAAGGACAATGAAAAGCTTTAGTTTACATGGATATAAGAAAAGTCAAGTTCCTGTTCTTTCTGATTGCCTGGTGGCCTTATTGGTAAGCTTTATTATGTCTCTCAGGAGCCTGAAGAAAATTTAATGTAAAATATAAGGTCGGAGAAAGAGAGATTCATTCTCTAAGTCTTATGAATCTAGAGAAACCTAACTAATCTCCTCCTATATCTACTTCGTCAGTACTCAGTTATAGGTGCTTATCACCATACTGGTTTTTCGTTTGTTTTGGGTTTTTGTTTTGTTTTTTGAAGACAAAGTTTCTTTGTGTAACAGCCCTGGCTGTCCCGGAACTAGCTCTGTAGATCAAGATGGCCTCAAACTCAAGAGATCCTTCTGCCTCTGCTTCCTGAGTGCTAGGATTAAAGGCATGCACCACCATCGCCCAGCCCACTAGAGAATTTTAATCACAGGGAAGGGTTCTAATTTGATTTATATTTAAGATTACCAATAATGCTAAAAGGGAAAAGAGAAAAGCAGTTAAGAGGTAGAGGGGCCAGAGAAATGGCTCAGCTGTTAAGAGCACTGGCTGTTCTTCCAGAGGATCCAGGTTTGGATTCCAGCACCCATAGGATAACTTACAATCATCTCTAACTCCAGTTCTAGGGGATCCAACACACTCTTTTGCACTCCTTGGGCACCACACATGTAAGTGGTGCACAGACATCATACAGGAAAAATACCATACACATAAAATAAAACTAAACACACACACACACACACAAAGAGGTGGTACAGTAATCAAAGGATACTTTAAGCAATAGAAATAAAGATGTTTATTGTGGGATATAGTTTGAAGCTAATAATGGAATATATAATGGAAACAAAGGAAACAGGGTTTTAGTTTATCAAAAGCCTTTTAAAATGCTTTCTAGTCTACCAAAAGAAATACAGAATATGCATCAAAATATAGGGTCTGTAGGAAAGAAATAAGGTAGTCAGAGCTAGAGATTTGGAAATCAACATGATACAGGTGATACTTATTGAAACCAGACAAACAAGAAGGTATCAGGAGAGGGCACACCTAAAGAAAGGGGTATAGTTTCTGATATATTCCGACACTTACTAGTCAAGCTAAGGCTGAAAAAAAAAAAAAAATTTAATGGGTGGTAAGATGGCTCAGTGGTTAGGAGCACTGATCACTCTTCCAGAAGTTCTGGGTCCAATTCCTAGCAACCATATGGTGGTCAACAACCATCTGGCAATGAGATCAGCAGGAATACATGCAGATAGAACACTGTACACATAAATAAATAAATAAATATTTTAAAAAATTTAAGCTGGGCAATTAATGGAGCACTCCTTTAATCCCAGCACTCAAGGAGCAAAGGCAGGCAGATCTCGAGGTCAGCCTGGTCTACAAAGCTACACAAAAAACTTGTCTTAACTCTCCCTCCCCCCCAAAAATGAGTAAAACAAGAGAAACAAATTCTGGTGTCATGGGGCTGGAGAGATGGCTCAGAGGTTAAGAGCACTGCTTGCTTTTCCAAAGGACCTGAGTTCCATTCCCAGCAACCACACGGTGGCTCACAACCATCTATAATGAGATCTGGTGCCCTCTTCTGTCATCTAAGCATACACGTAAGCAGAATACAGTGTACATAATAAGTAAATAATTTAAAAAAATTGTGGTGTCATATATATCTTTAAAAGAAAACCCCCTTCCTAAAAGAGGGCTAAATGTTCATACAAAATGAAGTAAAACAAGAATGCAATTGATACTAACATATTATAAACTGATGACTACAAAACCTAACACTATCAAAATTATTAACTATGCAAAACTACTTGACATACACCTTTGATATTTTTATATGATCATCAAATAAAATAGTCCTGGAAATATCAGAGTCCTGATTTAAAAGTTTGATTCCTAGCACCCACTTGGTTAGCAATCACCTGCAACTAAAGCTCTAGGGAAATATGATGCCCTCTCCTGGATTCCATGGGCACTGCACACACACAGGTATACATGCAGGTGAAAGAACTCAAAAAACAAACAAAGCCTACTAAATAACATTAGATAGCATCTATATGAGAAAAAGGAAATCATAGGACCAAACACTAGTCTACACATACAATTTTCCTAAGTTGGAACAGAAGTTCAGAAACAAAAACCATTATCAGAAAACAAAACAAAACAAAAAAACAATGTTTCACCTTTACTTGTCGAGTCTGGCTGATGACACATGGAAGACTAAAAAGTTGCTGGACAAAGGCCTTCAATTCTTCTACTGTCAGTTTGGTCCGAGTCTTCCCACTATCTGAGCTCTGCCTAATATGAAATAATATTGAGACATAGAAAAACACAGTCATTTTGGTATCAAATGGGGGTTCTGCTCTCTTCAAAATAGAACCCTTAACAATCATAGAATTCTAGTGTTGAATAATTCCTTTGTAGATAATTATTAAAAAATACAACTTGTCAAGTGGCAGTCCTTCAAATCTAAATGCTATTACGTTTGAAACATTAATTCCCATGGTGGAATATTAAGCTGAGAAAATGAAATCTTGTGTCTTAAAGACGCTCACACTGGAAACACAGGGTTTCTAGCTACCTTAGGCAAATAAACTCCCTGAATCTATGCCAAATTCCTTTTTGTTTTAAAGATATTTTTATTTTATATGTATGGATGTTTTGCTTGCAGGTATGTCTGTGTACTACATTGAGTGCAGTACTCAGAGAATACAGAAGAAGGCATCAGGTCTCCTGGAATTGGAATCATGCCAGTGCTAGGAATTAAAGTGGTCTTAACCACTGAGCCATCTATCTCTTCAGTCCTCAAAATCTTTTATGTATATATACTTTTTTTGAAAAGGGTCCTCAAACTTTTATCAGACTCCCCAAAGGAGTCAGTGTCCTAAAATCAAGTTAATGTTCACTGGAAAAGGTTCTCTAGCAAAGGTTCTCTAATTAGATTTAAAAAAATAAAACTTAAAACCACAGAAAAGTACTACAGAAAAAGCCACACAGACCGAGGAATATATTAAGTAACTATAAAATAATACCACAGAAAAATGTTTATTAAAAAATGGAAAAATGAAAGGAGAAAGAAGTAATCAAGTCATCTAGATGTGGCAGGAAAAAAAAACACCAAGCTCAATGAAGAGCAAATAGGAATCCCTAAACAAGAGCATATATGACATGTATGAAGGACAGCAAGTCAAAGAGCACTGCAGAATGGGACAGAAAGAGTTTATTAAAGGAAAGAATGTGAAGTTAGAAATATAACTTCTCCTTAAGAAGTAAATCAGTTCTAATACAAGGTAGAAAATAAAGCTAAGCACTTGAACTCAAAATAATTTAATCAAATCTTTTGTTATTAAATATCTTGACCCATGTTGTTAAGAAACCTTAATCTGCTAGGTGTTGTGGTGCATGACTTTAATCCTAGCACTCATGAGGCACAGGCTGGTGGCTCTCTGTAAGTTTGAACCTATGTATCTATGTTCTTAAATATTTCAAATAAAGTTGAATATATAGCTAGGTCTTTGTCCCAAAGACACTACATAAGCTTCAGTGTTATTTTAGCATTGAAACAAGCAGGTCTACTTGCTGTTTTGTTGGTGTAGTTGACGACTCACTTAAATTTAATGAGCTTTTTACAACTTATGAACATGGAAGAGGTGGAGGGGAAGGATGGGATGTTACTAGGAATTGAAGAGACAAGGCTATGGGGTGAAAATAATACAGGGCCTCAACTCTTCTTAGCTTTACCTGTGCTTTTGCTTTTTGCTCAGCAGCAGCTGAGCCACAGAACCACAGGTCTCAGCTTCTTTCACTGCATCCCTGAGCTTTCGGAAGAGATCATTCTCTGGGTATTTCCTATCCTCAGCATCTTCCAGCATTACTCTCAATTCAACCAAATCTGTAAATATAAGTATGATGATAAACACAAAAGGCCACTCTACAATAGTCACAAAGCTTACTCGAGTCACTAAAATACTAGTAGAAACAATGAAGCTTTGACAGTCTCCAATATAAATGATTCTAACCAGATACAGATGACTTCACTCAAATAAGGTACAGTTGATCTCTCTCTTTTATCCCTATTCCCTTCCACCCTCTCTACCTACCCTCTTCTTTGTCTCTCAAAAACAATCAAAAATCAAAGGCTTTCAGTGTCATTGACTATATAAAATACATACTACAACTTATCTGTCCCATTCTATGTCAGCCTTTCCATTTAAAAAGGGATTCTCACTGGATGTGGTGGCATAGTCATGTAATCTTAGCAATGACACCAAGGAAAGAAAGGCCATGAAACTGACGACAGACAGGGCAACAAAGCACATTTTCAGATCACAAGAGACTATCTTAAAACTAGGCATAGCCTACAGCCATTACAAATGACCATGATATCACAGAAGATAATTTTATTAGGTCTGCTTAGTACAAGGATGAGATAAAATAAGTATACATTCAACTATGCCATTATAAGCTAGAACTTCCATTTGTTAATGGAGAACAAAAACATATAAGTAAAGGTTTCTTTTAAAGTTACAATTTTTCATAACAAAGGAGGAAACTTAACCTTTCTTATGGTTGAAGCTAGCTGATAATGCTTCTGTAACACGACTGACCCAAGTGTCATAGGACTGTGCCCTCACTTTTACACCATAAAGTAGAGAAGGGAGGTCTTCTAGTGGGTAGCGATACCTACAAAAAAAAACAAAAAAACAAAAAACTTCAAAATATAACCTGAAATAAGAGAAAAATCAAAGAAACTCAGTTTCAATGCAGAGAGGGACAAGAAATGCACGGACCACAAAACTAATTACAGTTAGGTTGGTTAGAGCTAATTTAAAAGTACTAGTCCTTCATTTGGGAAGTAGATAGTCAAGGAAAAGTTATTTGTTTAGGGAACAGGAAAGAAAGCAAAGAATAACATCAAGATTTTTTTTTTGCCAGGTGGTGGCACACACCTTTAATCTCAGCACTTGGGAGGCAGAGGCAGGTGGATCTCTGATTTTGAAGCAAATAACAAGTTCTAAGACAGCCAAGGCTACACAGAGAAACCCTGTCTCAAAAACAAAACAAAACAAAGGATAATGTGCAATAACTTTTAAATACCTAAGACATTTGTTCTGCATGGGGCAGGAACACAAATCAGTTGGATGGTACAGACATACAAGTCGCTCCGGATTACAGGAGCAGGTGAGAGCTGAGAGAAAACATGTGGTTCTGCATGCTGAACACTGTCGCTCATCATCAGGAACAAGTTCAAAAACCTCTTCTTCTGACATCACCACACCCTGGAATATAATTTACATCATCAGATCAGGTCTCAACTGAAACAAAGCAGTAGTTTAAAAAGAATTAAAAATTAGGCGTGGCAACACACTCCTTTAATCCCAGCACTCAGAAGACAGAAGCAGGCAGATCTCTGTGGGTTTCAGGGCAGCCAGGACTACATAGTGAGACCTTGTCTTTAAAAAAAAAAAAAAAAAGAAACAGCATAAAAGATTAAGAAAAGATCAAAAGTTAAACCCGAAAACAACTAGCATTTCAGGCGATAAGTGAGAAGAAGACAGAGTAGTCCAATCTGACAGTCTAGAATCCCACAACTTGGATGAAAAGAAAAAGAAAAAAAAAAAAAAATGTCCCAATTCCACAAGGCAGCAGGAAAGAACTAACTTCTGAGAGTTTTCCTAACTTCCACATGCACCATGGAACATAGATGCTTACATTCACACACATTTATGCATAAAATAATTCCAGTAATAAGGCTCACATCTGTAATCTGAAAACTTGAAAGGCCAAAGCAAGAGGATTGCCAGGACTGGCACGGCTTCAAGGACACTCCTAGTTTCATACTCAGTTCTAGGCTACCCTGAGTTAAGGGGAAGAATCTGTCTCAAAAAATGAGAAAATGGGGCTGCAGAGGTGGTTCAATGATCAAGAGCACTTACAGTTCTTGCAGGGGACCTAGGTTCATTTCCCATCATCCAACTGGTGGCTCAAAAGTGTGTTTAACTCTAGTTCCATGATATCTGACAACCTCTTTTGGCCTCAGTGGGTACCAGGCACAAATTTGGTACACAGGCAAAACATTGATACACACACACATCAAATTTCAAATCAGAATGGCTAAGATCAAGAAAACAATTGGGACTGGAGAGATGGCCCACTGGTTAAGGACACTGGGTATTCTTCCAGAGGACTGGGACTCGGTTTCCAGCACCCACATCATTCACAACTATTTGTAACTCTGGTTCCAAGGGATGCAACACCTTCTTCTGCCCTCCAAGGGCACTGCATGCATGTGCTGCACATACATACATTCAGGCAAAACACTCATACACAGAAAACAACAAAACAACAAACAGATGTGGGGAAAGGAGAACCTTCAACTCACTGCTGGTGGGACTGCACATAGTTCAGCCAACCTGGAAATCAGTTGGAAAATTCTCAAAAAGCTGAAATAAACCTTCCTTATGACCAAGTTAAACCACTACTTTGGCACATGCCCAAAGGACTTGACATTCTTTTCTATAGACATTTGCTCAGCCGTGTTCATTGCTGCTCTATTCACAATAGCTAGGGAATGGCAACAACCTAAATATCCTTCAAATGATGAATAGATAATGAAAATGGTTCTCATACAGACAACAGAATTCAGCTGTAAGAAAAATAAAATCATGAAATTTTCAGGTAAATGGAAAGAACTAGAAACATTATACTGAGTGAGGAAATCCAGACCCAGAAACACAAACACTGCAAGCTCTCTCTTATTTGTGGCTCCTAGCTCTGAATCTTCAGATGTAAGTATGAAACCTAGACAAACCACAGAAACTAGGAAAGTAAAAGAAGATCACAGTGGGTGGTGATGGTGTGGGCACAAGTCTAGAAAGAATAAACAGTACACATGTGTTATGAAGGGGGAAATAGAAAATATGGGGGAGAGAAGGGAGACAATACTGAGGGAGAATGAACAAAGAGGGATAAATAACAATAAGGATATTTGTATAAGCCATAGAGAATCACACTATCTAAAATTATACAAAATATACACGTGTATATATGTATATGTACATATATACACACACACCCAATAAGACACAGCTTAAATAAAGTTATATGACACTTGATAATGCTCTCCTTAAGTGCCACAGAGTATCTTAAAACAACAAACAAAAATCCTTAACTAGACATGAAAAAGAAATCCCCTTTCGAGTTGTTAGTCAAGTTAAGTTTAAGTGACTCCCAAAAGAATATAGGCTCATGTTGTCCTTGGTTGACTCCCAGAAGTTGAAAGGTACGTCCCTAATGCTAAAGACACAATAGACTTTGGAAATAGGAGTCACACAAATCAAGTTCAATCTAACCCAAAAGTCTCCTCTCTGAGGAATAGCTTTCATAGTACCAGAAGGAACTATGCAGACTGCCAAAGGAGAAAAGCAATCAATAGTCCTACCCAGCTGTGACACTTACAAAGCATGATGGTGACCAACATAGCATGATATCACCAAAGGTTCAATAGTGGCACTTATGTTGTGGTAGTAACTAATAGCTGTCTTCTTAGACTTAAGGCCCACTCAATAGGAGAGAATTCATATCTGGTATTATAAACCTAGCAAATTATCTAGAGAAGAATCTGCTTTCCTAAACTAGGATAATTTCTAGCTGCACTCTAAATACTTAGCTTTATAATTACTGATTAAGTGTAGCTTCCATCCCTCATCAATGAAGTTTCTTTTTGTAGCAGGTAGAAACCATTACAAAAACCCATACATAACTAGCCAAATGGAGACTGACTATGGGTTGGCCACACCCAATTGACTCACTTAGAATATAAACCCTAATTCCCAAGGCTACAGAAACATCATAGAAGGGGGGCAAGGAAAGAGAGATGATCAGAGTGTCTGCTAGATGTACCTTCCATATATGACAGGGAAGTTGCACTCATGGAATTTCAACAAAATGGTAGCCTAAACAAGACCTGAACAACGATACCACCAGTTGACATGCCAACGTGAATGGGGAAATCTCACAAGCCTCCACCCCCTCAACTACTCAGAGAGAGAATCAATCTTCCCAGTAAGCAATGAGTCCTCTAATAGGTTATCTACATAGTTAGCCCTAAAAACATATACAAGCAACATTAAGTGGACTCAGCAGGTTGTGTTTATATATTAACTCATAATATATGTACCAATAATAATTAAAGAAAAAGAGGACATGAATTTGAAGCGTGTGTGTGTGTGTGTGTGTGTGTGTGTGTGTGTGTGCGCGCGCGTGCGTGCGCGCGCAGGGATGACACAGGAGGAATTGGAGGGAAGAGCAGGAAGTGATAGAAATACAGTTCACATACATATAAATTTATAAAAACAAAAAAATAAAACAATAGCTATTTAAAAGAGGAAAGAAGGTAGGAAAGAAATGTACTCAGCATACTCACCATTTGTACAACTGATTCCCTTAATCTTGTTTCTTCTTCAGTCATGAGAGTCAACTCTTTGCAAACCATGGCAGCCAGCCCTACATCTAAGCATTCTGGATCGGCTGCCATCTTGAAAATGAGTTCCTCATGTGAAAAGACACAATGGCGCCTCAGCCGTCGATAGTGATTTACACACTGACGTCCAATGGGCAACTGAAAACAACAGATTTCCAAATTAAGTTACTAAGGACAATATTCTAGCACAGAACTCCTATTTACCTTCAGGTACTCATAAAGAAGAAAAGTAAATCCTATCTGAGCATAAAACATAAGTAGTAATCCTATGTAACAAGCCAAAATTTCTTAAGTCTTTCCCCAGATGATGTCCATAAACTGAGATGATAAGTTTCTGCCCTAAGATGCAGTTTTTCTTTTTAAAAGATTTATATTTCATTTATTTATTTATTTATTTATTTATTTATTTATTTATTGTGTATGCAGTGTTCTGCTTGCATCTCTGCAGGCCAGAAGAGGGCACCAGATCTCATTATAGATGGCTGTGAGCCACCACATGGTTGTGGGGAATTGAATTCAGATTTTGTAACTCACTGTATATACCAAGAAACTGAACAATGCTGGGCCTACTAACAGATGTCTTTAATCCCAGGACTGGGGAGGCAGAGGCAGGCAAATTTCTGTGAGTTCAAGGCCTGTCTGCTCTACAGAGTGAGACCCTGTCTTAAAAAACCAAACCAAAAAAGAAAATAAAGAGCAGGACAGGGTGGCATAATGTTAAATTTCCATCATTTGTGATGTACAAGTAGGAAGACCAGGAGTTCAAGGCCATTCTTGGCTCATTTGAGACCAGCCTTTAAAACAAAAATAAAGAAAAACTGAAATAAGAAAAAGTGAAGCGCTTTGTTACATTAGGTAGAAAACTCTCAACACAGTCTAACATAGTGCAAACAAAAAAGAAAACTGTAAAAAATAAAAAGTTCAGACCATAAAGTATTTAAGTGATAGTACTCAAACGTTAAGATTCCATAGAACTATAAAAGAGTATTTATCAGAAAGAGCCAAAAATGAAAAAGAAAGTGGAGTATTATTTAAGCACTTTACAAAGTCTGATTTGTCTTTTTTTCCTTCTTCTTTTTTTTTTTTTTTTTTTTGAGACAGGGCTTCTCTGTGTAGATTTGAAGCCTGTCCTGGCACTGGGGCCCTGTAGACCAGACTGGCCTTGAACTCACAGAGATCTGCCTATCTCTGCCTCCTGAGTGCTGGAATTAAAGGTGTGCACCATCACTGCCTGGCTTCTCATTTTATTTTATTTTTTTCAAATAATTTTATTTTATTTTATGTGCATTAGTATGAATGTGTCAGGTCCCATGGAACCAGAGTTACAGACACTTTTAAACTGCCATGTGGGTGCTGGGATTTGAACCTAGGTTCTCTTGAAGAACACTCAGTGTTCTTAACCACTGAGCCACTCTCCAGCCCCCACATTTTATTCTTAAACACGTACTTTTTAAGCATTTCTCACATAACTACAATCCAACAGCAAGTAGAAATTGGGGTTTCTGCAGTACTTAATTATTGTAAAACCTGAGAAAGCCAAAACTGACACTGTAACTTATAAAAGTTAGCCTTGTAACCCTAGAGACAAACCTGTTAAGTTTTCATTTATATCATAACCTCAACTATAATATTTAACTTATTTTAGGTTATTAAATCAATCTATTAGTCTCTTGACACACAAGGTGTAAAAAAACCTAGGCCCTTGGGCTGATGAGATGGTTCAGCAGGTCAAGGCATTCTGCTGCCAAGCTTATTAACAACCTGATTTCAATCCCTGGGACCCACATGGTAAAGGAGAACCAATTTCTGCAAGTTGTCTTCTGACCTGCACATGCAGACTATGGTAAACACACTAAATAAATATAAAACAAAACAAAACAACAACAAAAAAACCCCCAACAAAATCCAAAAACCTTAGGACCACTAAAATGAAAAGTTCCTCAAGATCAAATACTAGTATTAGCTAGGTAATGTGGTGCACACCTTTAATACAAGCACTGAGGAGGCAGAGACAGGTGGATCTCTGAGTTTGAGGCCAGCCTGGTCTACATAGTGAGTTCCAGGCCAGTTAGGACTACACAGTAAGACCTTGCCTCAAATAAATAATAATAAATAGACGAAGTCCATATTAGTGAGCATGTTAAAGACATTGAAATCATCTTCAACTCTTTACCTGAATCACTTTGCACCCTACCCTATTCTTACCCAATATCGTGTAAATCACCCCCAAAAAACTTAACCAAGTCTTAATTACGATGTATTATATGATTCCATAGCCAAGTAAGGAAGAAATTTTAAATACTGAACCAAGACAGCTCATAGAGCCCAGAAGTTCAAGGGCAGGATACACAACACAGCAAGGCTACATATCGAAACACAAAATACTACCCACTGTACTACTATATTTTCTCTGTATGACTAATCATGAAATGCAGTAACAAATTAAGTTACCTACAGAAAATGTAAGATCAATGTTACTAAATGGTTCTCTCATTAAAAATGTTAAAATGCCAAAGAACCCAGCATCACTGGGGAAGAAAAATAAAGCCAGTGTGTATTAAGTATTCAATTTTTGGCAGTCTTTTATCAATCAACATGATGCAACTATAACTAATTGCATAAGATTCAAAAGTGCTCAGAGAAAATGAAGACTGGAGGAAACATATTCCGCTCAGGAAAAGACAAATAACTTCCCATTTAATTGCAAACATACCAGGGAAAATAATGAATAAGCAATATAATAAAAATTCTAAATTATCATAGCTACTCCAATAAACCCTTAAATATTCATGGATCCTACCCAAAACCCAGCTAAGAAAACACTGCATTTTATAGGGGTGTTAGTAGACGTACAACAGCCACGTGCTATAGAACAGACCCAGTCAGCAGTACAGAAGTTCACAGCTTCAGCAAAGTTGTATCCCTGGTTAAATCCAGAGTGATAGGCCCGAGGAAACGTCACAACGAACTCCCCAGCACACTGATTAGTCCTGAACACCTAAATGCAAATTAGAAATAGGGATTTAAAAAATAAGACAAGTCCACTCAGATAATTTCAAAGATATTTTATAAAATTGGAAATAACTGAGCATTACCTTATACATATCAGAAATAGCTACAACTGCCAGGCGGTGGTGACATATGACTTTAATTCCAACACTCAGAAAGAAGAGACAAGTGGATCTTTGTGAGTTCAAGGACAGCCTGGGCTATACAGAGAAACCCTGTCTCGAACCCGCCCACCCCCCAAAAAGCTAGAACTCTGTTTTCTTAAAATACTGATGGACATTATAATATATGTCAAGAATCAGCAGCCAAAAGAAATCCTCAAACAGAAAATGGCACTCTCTTCCTAAGTTAAAATTCCTACACTTCATGGTGAATGTCTATAATCCTAGCACTTGGGAGGTATAAACAAGAGGAGCAGGATGAAGATCATTCATGCTACAAGTTTGGGCTAAATAAGATCATGTTTAAAAATGTTTTCTCGTTTAAAAACTTAGAAAATTATTTTTTTGTTCCTGTGTTGTACATAGGAATAAAAGATTAAATTTCCTACAATCATAATATAATTTTTAGAAAATGAATCTACTAGTTAATGTCATGAGATATCTTCTAATTCCCAATCAGTTTTCCCAAATGTTACTTTTTTTAAAAAAATGGTTTTTCAAGGCAGCATTTCTCTGTGTAACAGTCCTGGCTGTCCTAGAACTCATTTTGTAGACCAGACTGGCCTTAAACTCACTGAGATCTGTCTGCTCTGCTTTCCAAGTGCTAGAACTAAAGGAATGAGCCACCACCGTCCCGAGTTACTTTGTTTTGTGATGAGACTCTGAGTATTGTTTAATTAATTTTAGTACCAGTTTATTTATGTAGGTCTTTCGAGACAAAGTTTCTCTGTGTTACAGTCCTAGCTGTCCTGGGACTCTATCTATAGACTAGTCTGGCCTGGAACTCAGCCTGCCTCTGCTTCCAATTGCTGGGATTAAAGGCGTGCATCACCATGCCCAACTTAATACCAGTTTAATTATAACTTTCAAAAATATATTCTGACAGTGTAACCAACTGATACACCTTGGTTTTTAATTCAGACAGAATTAGTATGAAAATTTCAAGATAGTAGCAATAACTGTTATAAGTAAGTTTAATCTTAATACTCTTGAATCCTAGTATAAATCCACCGTTTGAAGACAGACAACAGTAATGAAAATTATTTCATCTGTCTTTGTATTACCATTATATGAAGTGACTATGGTAACATACTTGCAAACCCAGAACCTGGGAGGAAGAAACAGGAGGATCACAAGTTCAGTGCCAAACCTGGACAAAATAAATAGGCTCTGAGGAAATGTAGCTCAGTGGAAGAACAATTGTATATTGTGCCAAGGTGTTGAGTTCCAGTCTCAGTGGCTCAAAAAAATAAAGTTATAACGAGGACTTAGTGGTTAAGAGCACTGGCTGCTCTTCTAGAGGTTCTGAGTTCAATTCCCAGCAACCACATGATAGCTCACAACCATCTTTAATGAGTTCTGGTGCCCTCTTCTGGCATGCAGCCATACATGCAGGCAGAACACTATATTCATAATAAATAGCAAGTTCAAGGCCAGCTGCTTCCTGACACTAGGTCTCAAACAAACAAAAAAAGGAAAAACAAATCTGAGCTAAAAGGAGATTCCACAATACATTTTTATGTCATTATCTTCTCCACCCTTTTTCTTTCTTTCTTTAATTTTTTTTTTCTAGACACAGTTTCTTATGTAGCCCTTGCTGTCCTAGAACTCTGTAAAACAGACTGGCCTTGAACTCAAGAGATCTGCCTGCTCCTACTTCCTGAGTGCTGGGATCAAAGTTGTGCACAACCACGCCTAGCTATTATCTGTTATATTAAAAACTGAAATATGATCACATACACCTTTGATCCCAGCACTTAGGAAGTAGGAGCAGGCAGGTATCCTTGAGTTTGAGACCATACTGTCAATATAATGAACTCCAGGCTAGTAAGAGCTATATAGTAAGACCTTTTCTCCAATAAAAATAAGTATCCAAGTTAAATAAAACAAAACGAAACATAAAACTTGAAATCTCCTGGTCATGGACTCCCTGAGGAAATGCACTACCATGTCCATGTTAAAAAAAAATATGGGGCTGGAGAGATGGCTCAGAGGTTAAGAGCACCGACTGTTCTTCCAGAGGTTCTGAGTTCAATTCCCAGCAACTACATGGTGTCTCACAACCATCTGTAATGAGAGCTGGTGCCCTCTTCTGATGTGCAGATATATATGGAAGCAGAATGTTGTATACATAATAAATAAAATCTTTTAAAAAATATTTCAATCACAAAGATAAATGAATAAAAAAAAAAGAATCCTTTCCTAGTTAGCTTCATCTTTCAACTTGTCACAGCATGAGCCACCTGAGAGAAATGTGTCAACTGAAGAGTTTCCTAGATTAGACTGACTATGGAAGACGACTGTCTTGACTAATGTAGGCTGGCCTGTGCACTACCCAGCTCCCACCATGTGATGGTACCATTCCTGAGCTATATAAAAAAGGTAGCTAAGCATCAGCCTGTCTTAGCCAGCAGCAGGTATCTTCCATGGTTTCTGTAGTATTTTTTGGTTTTGATTTCCTTGGCCAGAGGTAATGCTGTGTTGAAATAGCAGTGCAGGCCTGTCTTCAACATCCTACCCTGATTTCCCTCAATGATAAAATGTGTATAATCTGGAAATTTAAGCCGAGATAAACTCTTTCCTTAAGTTGCTTTGATCAGTGTTTTTATTACAGCAACAGAATGAAACTAGAACAGTTATCACTTTAAGAACTTGATTATTCTAGTTAAGTAGGGGAAATACAGAAGATGAGATCTGGGAGTCTCTGAGATAGTTCAGTAGGTATAGACCCTTGCTACCATGCCTAATGACCTGAATTCAATCTCAAGGACTCACATACTGTAATTAGAGAACTGACTCTTACAAATTGTTCTCCAAACTACTAAACATGCACCATGGCACAACAGGGCTGGAGAAATGGCTCAGCGGTTAAAGGGTAGGCTTACAAACAAAAGCACAAAAGAAAATTCAATTAAAAACAAATGGTTTTAAAAGGGGGGCTGGAGCGATGGCTTAGCAGTTAAAAGCACTTACTGCTCTTTCAGAGGACCCAGGTCAGTTTCCACCACCGAAAAGACAGCTGACAACAAGCTGTAATACCTATTCTAGTGCTCTTTTTTGGCCTGTGGAGGCACAGGAATACACATAGCACATATAAAATACATGCAAACAAAGCACTCATATACATAAAATAAAATAAACCTTACAAAGATCCCCAAGGGCTGGAGAGATGGTTCGTCCAATAAGAGCACTTACTGCTCTTAGAGAGGACCCAGGTCAGTTTCAGCACCCACATGGTGACTCACAACCATCTTCATCTGCAGTTCCCAGTTATCCAAAGCCCCCTTCTGACTTCCTCAGTTACCCGACATGTACACGGTACACATACATACTTGCAGGAAAAATATTCGTACTCATAAATAAATCTTAATTTAAAAAAAAATTCCAAACACAGTTGCGCTGTGTTGGCGCACGCCTTTATTCCCAGCACTCAGGAGGCAGAGGCAGGCGGATCTTTGTGAGTTGGAGACCAGCCTGGTCTACAAAAGCAAGTTCCAGGACAGCCTCCAAAACTGCAGAGAAGCCCTGTCTCCCCCCCCCCCAAAAGGAAAATACACAACACAAATTTAAATATGTGTGTAACACAGAGAAACCTGTGTCAAAAGAAACAATGTGTATGTGTGAAAATGGAATGTCTTAATGAAAACAAAAATGTCTTTTATGTTGAATGAAAATGACCATACAAAATTTTTTAAATAAAACTATTTTTAAGGTCAAAAAGAGTTAGTTGGGCATGGTGGTGTACACTTTTAATACCAGAACTTGGGAAGCAGAAACAAGTGGATCTCTGTGTCAGAGTCCAGCCTGGTATATACAGCAAGTCCAGTATACACAGAGTTAATACTCTATGTAAAATCGCCCCCCAACACACACACACACACACACACACACACACAAACACACACACCCCAACAAGAAAAGTTTAAAAAGAATGAACAGTTTTTACTAAAGAACAGAAGCCTATTCAAATAAGTAGCTGTAAGACATAATATATAATTCACACTTTAAAGCATCCCTTCTCAGTCAGTTCTATTCAGGGTATAAATTCTAATTTGGCTATATTACAGGGCCTTTCACATATAGTTACAACCCCCCCCAATCAAAACAAAACCCTGGTGATTATATCTAATCAAAATCTAGGAACTCGTTGAAAAACGCTGAAGGAAGACACAAAAAGACTCACAGGCACACCATGGTCCATGAGCACATTTGGGTTCATGATGGTTACTAACTGATGAAGGAGATCAGGCTGTGATTCAAATAATTCAGGGGCCAGCTCCCTCATCACCTCCTCCAGTTGTTCTGCAGCATGAGATGGTACACCATACCATGTTTTTGGCTCGCCCCTAGCAAAAGAAATAACTGTTTAGCTAGGTAGAACATGGTACCAAAGAAGCCAGGGTCTTTCATTCAAATCTACTACATTATAATTAACCTTGTCATATTCCTGGCCATAGGTTATGTGACCAGAATCCTGGCAACCATCCCATAAATATATGCTACTATTAATAACAGGAAATAAAGCAAGAATATGTGGACTATTAAGATACACACTCACTGCCATTGGGAAAATAACCCAAATTACATGAATTGGGGATTAGTAAAGGTACCTTTCGAACAGAAAACGTATTACATGGAAATCACTGTTCAAAAGGATATGGACACACTCACTGCCTTGATTCCCAGAACATGAGTCTTTCCAATTACTATCACAATGGTTAAACACAGAGTCAATGATCTCCAGAATACATATAAGTAACTTCATTAAGTTCCATTTTCCTATCCATGTAAATAAGGTAATACTACAAACTAATCAAACTTTTAATATAGTTGCCAACAAAAAGACCAAAACCTGGCATAATTAATCTATCATATTTTTAATGGATTAGAGTTCATTTTGAATACTAAATAATTACAAACTTAGGAAATACTGCTGGCTAGTTTTACATAAACCCTACACAAGCTATAGTCATGTTGGAATAGTGAACCTAAATTGGGAAGATGCCGGCACTAGACTGACCAGTGGGCAAGCCTGTGGTGCACTTTCTTGATTGATGATTAATGTAGGAGGGCACAGCTCACAGTGGGTGGTGCTACTCCTAGGCTGGTGCTACTCCTAGGCTGGTGGTCCTAGGTGCTGTAAAAAAGCAGGCTGAATAAGTTATGAGGAGTAAGCCAGTAAGAAGTGTTCCTCTACAACCTCTGAATAAATTTCTGCCTCTAGATCTCTATCCTGACTTCCCTAGAAGACAAACTATAAGCTATAAGATGAAATAAATCCTTTCCTCCCCAAGTTGCTTTTGGTCATAGTGTTTTATCACAGCAACAGAAGCCCTGAGACAAAAAAATCAATTTAATAATTAAGCTATTTATACAAAATAGCTGTATTTCCTAATTCTCATAATTCACAAGACTTTAGATGAGAGTTGTACCCTATTCCCTGTAAGATTTACTGTAATGATAAGAATGTTTTAGGGCTGGAGATTAGACAGATTGCTTAGCAGTTGTGAGCACTGGCTGCTCCTGCAAGAATACCATAGGGCAGCTCACAACTGTCTGTAACTCCAGTTCTAGGAGACCTAAGGCTCTCTGGCCTCGACAGGTAACTGTACTCAGGTAGAATGCGCGCACACACACATATACACACAGAGAGAGATGAAATAAATCTTTAAAATATGATCATAAAGCACTTGAAATATGGCTACTCTAATACAGGTAGTAATTTTCAATTTCACTTACCCTTAACTAGTATTAAAAATACACACACACACAGACAAAAAAGGCAGCCAGTTAAAATAGTATTAATATTAGAGAAAGAACTTGCTAAGTGAATGAAAAACTTTTGAGAGATAAAAAAAAAAATCATCAAATGAATTCACTTCTTATCTTAGGCATTTTTAGAGGAAATGCTACTAAAATGAAAAACCTTTCAAGCACCAAATCAAATCTTTCAACTCTAAGTTTAAATATCACATTTTGCCTGTCTAGATACATCAAAACTGGGGGAATGGAGATGGCTTAGTGACTGAAATCACTTACTGCTCTTTCAGAGGACCCAGGTTCAGTTCCAAGCACCCATGTGGCAGCTCAAAACCATTCAAACCTCCAGTTCCAGGTAATCTGATACACTCTTTTCACCTCTACCGGCTTATACATGCATGTAGTGTACACGTACACGTACACACACACACACACACACACGT